GTACAGCTAAAACATTTTGGCTTTTTCGATCAAAGGACAGGAGTCTCTCTCTCCTCAACCGAAACTCATCAATTTTGTTTAGGGTTGTCAACTTTTGCTTTTATCTGCGTTATGTCTCACAATATCGTTCGCTATTCCAATTCTATGCTCTCGCAAAATTCCGGCCACAAAATTAAATCATATTTCGCTTCGTCCTTTTCATTATTTTGGTTTTTTTTTTTTTTTTTTGATACTTTTTGGCATTTTCCTTGCGGCTGCCGCTGCTGCTTCGAGTGTGGCAATTATATTTTTATTGTCCCTGTTGCTGCTGCCAAATTGTCTAGCAAAATTGTTGATAGCCACCTCGGGCGGCACTTGGCCGAATGGCCCGGCACAAAAGTGCGTTCAAATGAGGCTGGAATGCCGTCTACTGGCTGGGTCGAGGGGTCGAAAGGTCATGCACGGACGTGTACATGCTTAATAGCTCGACATGTAATTCGATTTTGTGCAATGATTCCTTAACTTTAGTGACAGCCGAGCATTTTGTATGAAGGATAAAGAAAGGACTCTCAGCGGCCTCTTTAAAGGCAAGGGATAAAAAAAACGTGTTTTATGAAAACTCAAGCTCATTTATAATGGCCTGATTTATAATGGCTTAGGAGAAATTTTCCATTAGATAAGCGTGTTCGTTGGCAGAGTTTTAAGTGCATAAGCTTGTTTTAAATACCATAAGACACCTTAATGGATTTTCTTTTATTAAACTTAGCTTATAAAACTATGCCAAAGTCGTGCACATTAAACAGATGCCAATTATATATGTTTAACTTTTCACCAAGATGCTAAGGTAAATGTGCTGGCCACACAGAGCTGGTCCGTGTCCTTCTTACAAAGTTCTCGCCATTTGAAATGACTTCATGTGTCCAGACTTTAACCAAGGATTAAGCGCAGTCCTTGGGCTGGCAGAAAACTTGGCCCATTAAATTTTCATTGTTTTAATTTGCACAACGTGAACCGCAACATGTGTGTGTGTCTGTGTGCGGTTGGGCGAGTATTCTGACTACTTGAGTGGCTGTCCATGTGTATGTGTGTGTGTGTGTGTTTGTGTATGGGTGTCAGGCATGTGCACCTTAAATAGCTGCATGTTTAGCAAGGCAAAGTCAGATTTAAGTTGCTCGACGCTTTCCATTTTTCTTGACCAAAGTTGAAAGCTTTGCCACATTTTACGGCTAATTTGGCTTATTTATCTGCCGGACACAAGCTGCCACCAAGCTCCACCCAGATCCACAAGCTCCACCCCATCAGCCAGATTATAAGCCTGAATCAATTAGGCTAAACAAAAAACGGCCTATTGAAGTACTCCAAAATCAAATCGGCGACTGGAGGAGCTAAAGAAAACTTTTTAAAATCACGCTTAACTAAATTCTTTCCTCAATACTCTGTTCAGAAAGTGAGAAGGAGTACATTGATTAAAAGCGTTGTCCAGCGAAATTCGATGACGAGTATATATTTTGTTAACCAGAAGGCATTCGCATCACAAAATCTATTTGGATTGTGTCAAAAGACAGATGGCGAGTAGTATAAGATACTACTAATATAAGGAACTAATAATAAGGAATTATCTAAAGTCGGGTTTTGTGCTGCTGAGCAAGGCGGACATGAGGAAACCGCGACCTCAAGAACTGATTGCAAGAAAGTGAAAAGTTAAAGTATATAACATATATCAAATATAAATTATAATCATAAACAATCAAAGTCATGGAATGTATGAAAAATCATTGGCAGGTTAATTGCAGATAACATCCCATAAATATTGAACCACACCTAATCCAGACAGTTTAAATATCACCATCTTTAATATACAGTTTTAAAGCCACTGTCCTTATAAGCAAGAAGACCCAATTAGATACATATATCTCAAGCTTTTATTTCTCTGTCGACAGAGTATTACGCAGTCGATTACAGCCGACTGCTTTTTAAATGAATTACCATTTAGCTGTCATAAAGTCAAGTGTGTCTAGATTTGTGTGAGGCTCGCTTGCTTGTAGGGTAGCTCATAGTCCATCAATGGCTGAGCTTTTGACGCCAGCCCAGTAAATGACGTTGGTCATTAGAAAAAAAGCTGGGCTAATTAAAATTAATGTGCACGGCGTTGGCTGCTGGTCACACACACACACACACACACATACACGCCCTGAAGGGGTGTAGAAGGATTGTGTGGCAACATACATGACTGTGGCATTCCTGAGCGTCAAATCGGATGGCTGAGGAGGCGGGCGATAGGGTTATGGGGGGGGGGGAGATTCACTCAACACGTTATGCAATTTTCCCATCGCATCGTCTCGTTTGCATTCTTTTCAGCTTTGGCATTGCACAAATTTTGTTGTCGCTGCTTTCGTCCTGTTGCCAATTTATGCGCACTTATGCACGTGCGCACACAATGCAGCACACACACACACGCACACACACACATGCCGGCTCTTACACATGATCCTGACGCATTGTTGACCAAATCAATTTCATGGCTCGCAGGCATTTTAGCTCGCTATTGTGTCCTGTGTGTACATTTTGTGGGTGTGTGGTTGTGTATTGTACTGCGATGGCGGTTACCTTTGGCTGAACAATTAAAATGCTTTTTTATGTTTTCTCCTCTGTTGCATTTTCTCCAACTTTATGACTTGTTTTTCAAATGTCAACTGCCAAGGAGAACACACTGACCTACATATGTACATATCTCGGAATATTCCTTATAAAATACGCTGTTAGCTGTTTAAGAATCCATTTGTCAAGGTCTCTGTCATTTTCTACATAAATTGAAATATTGCTGAAGACGAATTTGATGAGAAACTTTATTGCATTTAAATGCATTGTTTTCCAAATTCGAGCTTTATTGTATGAATCACTAATTAAACTTTCTTTAAATTAATTTTAATTCTCTTTACCTTCTACTACTTCATTTTGTACATAAATTTAAATATTACTGAAGACGAAATTGTTGAGAAACTTTTTTGCTTTTTTTTTTGTCCAATTTCAAGCTTTTTTGTATGAATCATTAAATAAGCTGTCTTTAAATTAATTTAAATTCTTTTTACCTTTTATTACTTCTTTCGTTTTTCATGTTCCTTTGCCCGACATTGATTTCTCTTGTATTACTTATTCTGAAATTCTTCGCAGTTTTCTCAGCTGTTACTGCTGCTTAAAAAAAGAAAAAAAAAAAAGAGCACACAAACTAAAAAGCAAACTAGAGAACAAATTTTCATCCATATATAAATCAAATGTGGTTCTTTTGGTTGCGCAAAAAAGGTATATGACATTTGTCTTGTTGTTGTTGTTGTTGTGTGTGTGTGTGTTAGTGTGCCTTTTTTCTTTTCTATTCTCTGTTTTTGTTGAACTGAAAGCGTTGCGATTTCGCCCCCAGTGGCTAAATCCAATTTTCACATTGCTCATACGCCCCGTGCTCGGGTCTTGTTGCTCACGTTTCCACTTTCAGCTGAGTTGAGTTCAGTTTAGTTTTTAATAAGTTTTTTAGCTCGACATGCCCCACATCCCAGCTAGATCCGGACAAGCCCCAGCCATGTTCCATGCCTGGACAAAAGTCTCCAACTCAACACTCCCTTCTGCCCAGATTCGTGTTGCGATGCACTCTCTGCATTCGGCTCGCCCAAAACTAAAGCTTCTATATGCATCCGGGGGCATCTCTCTGGCATCATATTTTGCATGGTTCGTTTAACATTCTGTACAATGCCACAACAAGCAACAAAGCAAAGCAAGGCGAACTACACGGCTGCCGATTTTGCTCAACTGCAACTGCCACAGCAGCATACATATAGGGATTTAATATTTACACTCAGCCAAAAATTCAGAATTTTGCATCTGAAATCAAGTTCTTACTGACTGAGATCATAATTTCTTGACTTGAGCAGCAAGTTCATATTCTCAACCCAAATTTTCTATACAATATTTACTAGAAATGCTTTGAACTTATTTCGGTTGAGAAAATGCTTAATTTTTCAAACTAATTTTGGTCCATAATTCACTTGTATTATAATGTTGTTTGCTTTTTCTCGGAGTGTACAAGTTTGCCCGCAGTTTCCCTGTCTGTCAGCCTGTCAGAGCCTTAAATTTGACTGTCTTTCAGATTTGTTTAATTTTTTTTTTTCTTCTGGGTAATACATTGAAACGGAAATTGATGCAGGCCGAATTTGATTTGGTTTCGTTTTTGGAAATATCTATTCGAAATGATTTTGCGAGATGAGTTGTGCGAAATTGCAATTTAACAGTGCCGTCCAGCCATAGTGTGCATAGCGTGCGAAACTATTTTATACTGTTCATTCGAAATTTTAACATTTTTATTATCTTCATTCTTTATCTGCTTTCGCATTTGTAGTTCAACTTTTACAACTTAGCTTAGCCTGTCACAATATGCACGGCCACCACTGTAGATGCAGCCCGAATTTGATTTGATGTCGTTTTTGGAAATAACTATTTGAAATGAGCCGATGACACAAAATGAGTTCAGATTTTGCGAGAAAAGCTGTGCGAAATTGCAATTTAACAGTACCGTCCAGCAATAGTGTGCATAGCGCGCGAAATGTGCTAGTATCGATTTGGGATTAGTTTGACGTTTTCGCACTATTTTATATTTTCTTCTTTATTCTCTAGTTTTATTCTTTATTATTGTTTTCACATTTGTAGTTCCACTTTTACAACTAAGCTTAGCCTGTCACAATATGCACGGCCACCACTGTATAATGCCATTGTGATTTTTAAAGATATTTGGATGGCGGCAACGATAGCAGCTGCTGGTTGTGTTGTGGCAGCTGTTGTGGCAATATATGTTTTGTCTAAACTGCACTTTAAGGAGAGATTCACAGCACAAAGGCCGCGAAAATCTGAATAGCTGAAAAATGCTGGCGCTGCATTCGTGGCTTAGTATGATATCTAGAAAGGGTCTATGGCGAAAATGTGTAAATTAAGCATTTGAAAGACTTTTAAAACATCCTCTCTCTCTTGTTCTGTTGCAGGTTCTATCATGTTTCATGTGCGACGCCGTCCGGCGGACTCGCAGCCGCGTCGACGCAAGAAAAAACCATTGGGATCTGCGAATGGCGCGAATCACATGTCCGGCGATCGCGAGGGCCCCGTCCTGGTGGAGGTAACGCACAGCGGCGACGGCGGACGCCGCATTAAGCTGGGCAGCGATCCGGTCGAGGTCGGTTCAGCGAACACGAATTGCCTGCAGCTCTTTGGACCCTCGATACAGCCGAGGCACTGCCTCATCTCGCTGCTGGAAGGCGTCTGTACGGTAACGCCGCTGCACACGGATGCGCTGACCTTCGTCAATGGACATCACATTAGCCAGCCGACCATTTTGCATGTGAGTTGCCATTTCACCTAATTTCTAAGAGCGCCCAAAGTTCACATGCGGCTTATACGCAATTTAGTTGCCATTTCCAAAAGACCAAGTTTTCCACTTAATTCTGTTCAACCTTGACCCACTAAAAGTCGTAGCTGTGCTGCATCCTGTGCTCCTGCTCTGTTGTCTTTTGGCATTTGTCACGCAATTCCATTTCACATTTGCAGCATTTTATGTGCGCAGGCTCTTCGCATTTTATTGCCCATGTATTGTAAGTCAGAGTTTGCCGGCCAAAAATAAGCCCGGAGTCCACTAAAGTGCAAACATTTGTTATTGTTACGGCCTTCCGTTGCTAAGAGACAGTTGAAAATGTGCCACAAAATTAGCTGAAAGAGGTTCCATGAGGATAAAATACGAAAGGACAGTTCAAGTACAGCGCTGACAATATCCAGATGAAAATCTTATTCAACAATAAAATAAAAAAGGAAATTAGATTTGGCTGTTTATTCAGCAAATAATTTGGCTGAAGGTTCTATTTTTTAATTAAAATTATTTTATTATTAGCTGATGTGCTGTTACTGTATTCTAGCAACTTTTATCAGCTTAAGGATCGGGGGTTCATAGTACCAATATTTTAGATATTTACATTTTGGAGGAAGTTTATGTATATGCTTATTTTGTTGGCCAGGTCTATAGGGTAGGCCCTCCATCTTCTTCGCCTTCTTAGCAGGTTCCTTGCCAGGACGATTAATCAGATAGCTTGCTGCTTGTTCGTTGATAACGTCACATAACGTTGGAACCTTAAGGTCGCAAGGTCTTGGCCTCGATGATGCGGAGTTTGTTTAGGTGCGTCCTTGCGGCTATACCATTAACCTGGAGCCCGTATCGCCACGCAGGGGCAAGGATTACCTTATAGATAGGGACCTTTTTGTTTGGGTTTAGCAGCCAGCTCCAACGCTCAAGGTTCGTGCAATGGTAAAGTATATAGGACTTCCACGACTTTTACTCGGTGGCCAATTATGCCCCGAACCTAGGGTATCTGCTATTTGGCACTGCCTACCTATAGCACTCTTATTGGTGGGTAGTCGATGCTTTGAAATCGCGTTCAGTTACAAACACATTCTGTACGCAAGTTCATTATCAACCCCTTCCACTAATTTGGACAACTTTGGATTTATATGCTTACAACCTTCGGGGCGCAGTTGATTTATCTTTTGTTTTGACAACTTTTCGACGCACACAACACAAATAACAACAGCAACAACAACAATAATAACAACAACTACAACTGGCTGGGCGAATAAAGTTGACTCTGCGTTCTCACGCATTTGGCCAAATGCACAACCCACAACAGCAACAAATAAAAGTGTAAAAACTTTTCTGACTTTCCGCTTGATGAATTCGAAACCAAATAAACAAAAGCAAACTTGAGGCCCCCGCGCCCAAACCAGAGAGACAGCGACAGAGACAATCTCCTGCCCCAGCTCCGCACTCGAGATAAGCCTCAAATGCTTGGCAATAACGTCAAACTGTCTCCAGAGACTCTTTTTGAGAGACCCGGGCAGCGGGCAGCGGGGGGCGAGGGGCGTGTGGTCTCGAGTTAGCTCGACATGAATTTGTGTAATTCACTGAACAAAATTGATCATTTCGACTTTTTATACACTGATCCCAATGTGAAACAGAGTACATTAGTTTCATTTGGCATGTACACTAATGCTTACTCGCGTAAGTTTCAAATGTTTATATTGATTGGCCACGCCCACAATGGGGCGACTTAATCGTGAAAATCTATATCCTTCGAAGTTTTAGCTGATTTGGGGACCACATTCTTCATATTTTAATACACTCTGAACAGGGTATGGCGCAGTCGATTTCAATTTGTTTCGCTGTTCTATTTGTTTTAAAATTTTTGTTCTTGCATTCAATTGGCAAATTGGATTCGGTTGCGGTTCAATGAACCCAAACAACAAATATTCACAAATGTCCAAAAACAAAACTGGAAACAAATTAAAAACAAACAAAATGAAAACATTTTGCGTTTGTATAAAATTTGTAAAGCAAGTAAACAAAATCGGTTTGAAAATGTTTTCAGCAATTTTTTGTGATCAAAGAAAAACCTTTATCAAACGCAAGTCAACAATTTAACAATTTATGATATCACAAACTAAATGCCTGAATGCATGTGCCGCACTTGGGTAGAGTATTGTGAAAGGGGGGCGTCTCTATCGATGACATTAGTTTCGAAACGCCCCACATTTATTCCAATTGAGATTTTCGAATCTTCGCAGTGCCAGAGAACGGTTCATAACCAAAGCACGCTGCGATTTGCTGTCGATTTCATTCATTATGTTAATTAGTTGAATTAATCGCCGCATACAAGTGAATTGAAAAACGTAATTGAAGTGCTTTAATGCGTGCTTTAATGAAATCATATTAAGCCATCATAATGTGTGTACACTGTAATTAATGTAATGTAATCTGGCCTTCACAGAACGGCTCGGTTGTCATGTTCGGGCGCGTCGCCTCTTACCGCTTCCTGGACTCGCCCACTGATGGACGCTATAATCTGGCCCTGTCGCAGTCCCAGCTGGACTCGGCCTGCCTCTACGAAAGGTGAGTTGGGAACGTGTGCTATCAAATACTTACATAAATGTGTGTGCTATAAATGCTGCGCTTTAGTTGTGTAATTAATTTCATTTATAATTTAATGCTAATTGTTGAAGAGCTTGAGAGAAAGTTAAAATAATGCTGGGCATAAGTTTTATTGATAATCCCAGACCATAAAACTTGTAGCAATACTCTTTCCTCGAGTATACATATATATATTGTACATGTATCTCAATCTCTTCGATTTTGTGCCTTTTGTGAATTAAGTCGAATTCATATTTATGCGAACGCATTTTGTGTTTTTATATTTTTATGTGGCTTTATGTTCGTTACGTGTTTGTTTGTTCTTTTTATTGTTTGTGTACAACATTAATCCGTCCATGCACTCGCCAACAAATATGCAAACAAATTTCCACCACAACACGCAACACACACCAACACACAACCAACAACAATTCACACCCACAAACGACAAAAAAAACCAAAAACACAATAAACGGAACTCTAGTCGCTCGCCAACATCGCCGGGCTCGTGGAACGATGAGGATGGGGCTCTCAGTTCGGTGAGTAGTGGTTCATCCGGTGCTTTATAGAGTGTAGTAGAAACAGTTCTGGAGCCATCTCTCATTCCATGTAGACGCAGAAGAGCGAATATGAGCCGCATCAGCAGCTGAATCAATCCTCTGCCGGCTACCACAGCAGCTCGGCGGAGACGCAGCCGCTGCACACGCTGCGGGATGTGGTGGACAGCAAACATGGCGGCCAGGAGCAGCAGCAGCAGCAACAGCAGCAGCAGCAGCTAACAAACCCAGGCGGCGGCAATTATGATGGTCAGAGTTTAGAAGGTAATCTGGAGAATGAAATCAAGTCCATTTCGAGCATGAAATCCAATGGCTCCAACAGTCAGGAAAGGTAAGAATGTGTACGGTTATTTAAACGTCGTCTAACTACAAAAGTCTATTCAAGCAGCCAAATTTAAATAATGCCAACAGCGAAACACACCTTCACACTCTCAAACACACACACACATATTCCTATGTGTATCACCTGTGCATTTTCTTTATGTTCGTGTGCGCTTAAATTTTATTTTACGTTCACTTTTATATATTATTGCTTTATTTGATATGCTTTTTAATGCGTTCTTTTTCATCTGAATTGCCGCTTGACTAATAAATATAATTTCCTCTTAACGTTAACCAACCAAACTAAACGCTCTTTAGATCGCCCAAGTTGCCTGGCTCTGTTGGTCTACTGTCCGGCGCCGGCGGCAGCGGATCTGGAGATGTCCAGGGGCAGGAGCCCATTTTGCCAGCTGTTCTGGAGTTTCCCGAGACGCATCAGGAGAACTTTCTGCGCCACATCATCAGCGAATTGGACGTGAATGTGCCGCACTTTAAGCTGGCGCCAGTTTATTCGCTATACCTGTGTGCCAGGTACGTAAATACGTCCCAAATAAAATTGACTGCATTTTTATAGCTCGATTCTAACCTGCCTGGCTAATAAGTGTGCTATATTTATGTGCTGGCCTGCTAGCTTTGCTAACTTATGCATTAAGGTTTACTCAGCTTTATTGGTCATGAGTTTGCTAGCTTCTAAGTTGCCAGATGTTTGAAAAATTAATATTCTTGCAAGAAAATGAACGCGGTCACACATTAACTTTTTAGATCAAAAATGCGGTTACACTCAGATGTGTGTTTGCATACATAGTTGACGTGAATACCCTAACTTAACTTGGGTTTCTTTATATTTTAAGCAAAGTCTAATAACTCGACTACGTCTAAAGCCAATAAGCGCTGACGTCGAATCGCGAAAATAGTTTTAACTCTTTAAGCTCTATCTTCCATCTGCCGTTAAAGTGTATTTTATCTTAGCCAGAAATCAGTGCTCCCACAAGTCTAAGCCAGGTCGTTAAGAGTAGCTGACTAATGTGCGTCCTTTAAATGAATTGATTTGACTTGAGCTCTTGGCTGACGACTTGATGCTATTTTGGTATTCCCATTTGCTGAATTCCCAGCTGTGTCGTAGCCAGAATATCAACAATTCATTATCAATTATTATGATTTATCCTGGCTGCTGACCCAATTTGTGCGCTATTAATATTAATACCGACCGGAGATAGTGGGGACTGGAGGGTTTCGATGTAAACACAGGAAATTGCAGCGCTGTGGCAGCCACATGCTGTAGCCCAATTGACATTTGACAAGGCCACACAAAACTAGAGCGAATATAATAAATGACAAGTGTTCTCTAGAGGAGAGTCATATGTTAAGATATACCCTATATACATTACTCTCAGTTAATGATTGGATAACTTTTGTATTTATTGTCCAATCAATGTTTAAATAACAGGTACACACTATATAATACAAATATAAGATATAAGTATAAAAATTCAGAAAGTATTCAAAATGTATTACAACCTTGTGCTGCGTGTTCCATACAAGAAGTTACATTCCAAATTTTGGGTCTCTAGCTTCTATCATCCACGAGATACCCGCAGAAAACTGATGACGGTTATCGATATTTATCGATTTTAATAATAAAAACTCAGGAAGTATTCGAAAGTTAAAACAACCTTGATCTGTGTATTCCATACACGAAGCTACATTGCAAATTTTAGGTCTCTAACTTCGATAAGCTGCGAGATACACAAAGAAAACTGAGGCCGGCTATCGATATTTATCGATTTTCCAGAAGTTATTAGCTTAGATTGACTTTTCCTGTCAGATAGACCATAAATAAATGTTTATTAGGATCAAAGATGCCGCTCTTTTTGCCTGTTACATACTTTTGTAAAACTACAGAATACCCCGTTTTGATCGAGCTACAGGGTATCAAAATCAATAAATGGCTTCGTTTGCGTTATAATGAGCTGCTGATTAACGTAAAATTATTATAATTTTTTTTTACTTTTTACAGATACCGCGCCTCCACCCACTACCGTCCCGAGCTGCAGCCCACGGAACGAGCCCACAAGCTGACCATATTTCTGCATCATGTGGCGAATCTGGTCTATGGCGTCGTCCAGGAGCAGTACACAGATCCACGTATACTCGCCTTTTGGATGGCGAACAGCTCGGAGTTTTTGCATTTCCTCAAATCGGATCGCCACATTAGCGCATTCAGCGTACAGGCGCAGGAGGTGCTCGCCGAGGCGGTGCAGACGGCATTTCGTAATCTGGTCAATTGCTTTCGCCTGGAGCTCTCGCAGACGCTGAATCAATTCCTCTCGGAGACCATTGATCATGATTCCGCTGCGGGCCTGGTGCTCACCGTGCTCGGCTCGGCCATGGCTCTGTTGCGGCGCTGTCGTGTGAATGCCGCTTTGACCATTCAGCTGTTCTCGCAGCTGTTCCACTACATCAATGTCATATGTTTCAATACGGTGAGCGGCGCTGGCGGTTCGAACAAGGCCCCCGAGTGCCCTATATGAGTCCATGCTGATGAATTGTTTTTCTTTCTCTGCCTCTCTCTCTTAGATTGTGGCCAACTCGCACATGTGCACGGGGGAGTGGGGCAAGGTGATGACGGAGCGTTTGCAGCTGCTCGAGCTGTGGGCTGAGCGTCAGGGCCTGGAGCTGGCCGCTGACTGTCATCTGGCCAAGATCAATCAGTGTGCGCAATTCCTGCAGGCGCCCAAATCCTCAGTGGAGGAGATACAGCAATTGGCCTGCTCCTGCTTTCGGCTCAACTCGCTGCAAATGGGTGCACTGCTGCAACAGGAGAAGATACCACGCAATCTGGTGGACACGGCTATACGCATGGCCGAATCTGTGGCGGATGAGCTAACGCGTGCCGATGGCCGCGAAGTGCGTCTCGAGGAGTCACCCGAACTTCATCTGGCACTGTTGCTGCCCGACGATGGCTTCAGCTGTGATGTGGTGCGCGGCATACCCACCGGCCTGGTGGACTTTCTCAATCCATTGCAGCAGCAGAGCATGTGCCGTCTGGCGGCCCAACCCACATCGATTGGACTCTGGACGGTTTATATGCATCAATTCAATGTGAGTTCTCGGATTACATGCTCCACTTATTCAAGATTCCCAACAAGCTCTATATACATATATATATCGAAACAGGCGCGTAGCTCCAGCGCCATGTCCAATAAGCTGCCCCAGCCGGAGGTGCAGCTGATCAAGCTGCACAAGAACAGCAACGGCATGGGTCTGTCCATCGTTGCCGCCAAGGGTGCGGGCCAGGAGCGTCTGGGCATCTACATCAAGAGCGTGGTGCCGGGTGGCGCTGCCGATGCGGACGGCCGCCTACAGGCGGGCGATCAGCTGCTGCGCGTCGATGGCCAGAGCCTGATTGGCATAACACAGGAGCGGTAAGCGAGGCAATAATGCAACAAGAGTCGAATTGTGTATACCCTTCTCCACCCCCCCAACTATTTGCAGTGCTGCGGATTATTTGGTGCGCACAGGTCCGGTTGTCAGTCTCGAGGTGGCCAAACAGGGCGCCATTTATCATGGTCTGGCAACGCTGCTGCAGCAGCCCAGTCCGGTTATACAGCGTGGTGAGTAGTTGGATCTGAGGCCACGCCCAGCCAATACACACACAAACACTCACATTAGACACACTTACACGGTTCTGGGTAGCTGCTAAACAAAAGTATATAACAATAATAAATACACACACATTCCACATTCCACATACACACACACACAACCACACACAGATTTCGAGCTGTTGTGTAAGCTAATCCAAAGTAATTGAATTCCCCCGTAACCCGCATTCGCTCTTTGAACATGCTGCAAAAGATGCAACTAGCAGCAGCAGCAATTATTTGCAACTGCAACAACAACAACAACAGCAACAACATCTGCAACAACGTCGTCATTCCTCATATCAGCAGCAGGCGCGCTATTACAACAACTCCATCTCGGACGACAGCCTGAATCGCAGTCGTCGCGAGTCCTTTGCCTGCATGCGGTCCGCCTCGCCGCCAGTGCGTCGCCTGAGCGCCTCCTGTTTGCAGGAGGAGCTATGCGCCTTGGGCCACCAGCTGCACATCGATCCGCGTTATAGGGACACCCGGCCGATAGCCCGCTCGGCCAGCAGTTTGTACTTGTCCAATGAGCCAAATTCCGGCTACTATCAGCCGCCTGTGACGGCGCCGCATTTCAGTCCAATGCGTCCGCTGCGTCGCACACCGCCGCCCTCCATTTACATTGAGGAGTATCTGGACGAGCCGGCGCCCTTGGAGCAGGAAGCACGCAATTCGCAGGAATCGTTCAGCAATTTCGCCAGCTACAGCGATGCGCATCAGCCGCTTAACGAGGAAGGCATCGCCTCTATGGCCGACTCGGGCGATATACCCTTCATTGACGACGAGGAGGAGCAGCAGCAGCAGCAACAGCAACAGCTGTCCTGCATTGCCACCGCTAACAACAACAGCAGCAGCAGCAGCAGCTTTGCCCCCTTGTCTACAGTGAAACGCAATCCGGCCGCTGGCTATCGAAAAACCGTAAGCTTTGATCTGGAGCAGCCGGCGCCAACTGTTGCAGCGCCCAGCATCGATCGCAGATATCATACGCACGATGCCATCAGCAATTTTGCTGTGAGCAACTCCTCGACCGAGTCGCTGCTCACCGAACAGCAGACGGGTGAACGGATGCCGCTTATACAAAAAATCCGACGCGAGCTGAACACGAAACGTGCAACCAATTGCTCCGCAGTCGATTACAGTTCCGGTGGCTCCGGCTCGAACAGCCAGCGCTCCTCCAGCGAGTCCATCGAGCGAATGCCACTGCTGCGGCAGCCAACACAACAACAACAGCAGCAGCAGCAACAGTCGCCATATCGGCGGCAGCTCAACGCTCAGCGTTCTCATAAAAGGTCAGGGTTGTGTGCAACAACAACAATACCAACAACAACAACTACACCGCCACCGCCACCAACAGCAGCAGTTGCTGCTGGTGCTCCTTTAATCAGCCTACAAGTTCCTAGTAACAGTTCCTGTGCTTGTTCCCGCACACAAAATGTACATAAAAGCAATCAATATTGTGCCAGCACAACAACTCTTAAGCCAAGCACCACAGAATTTCCCAACAGCAGCAGCAGCAATCGCAGCACCCGTCGCGCCTCCAGTCATACGAATCTCAGTCCCAGTTTTCTGTTGCCACCCCTTGGCCAGGGCAAGGTGCGTGAAATGGCCGCCCATTTGGATGCGCATCAAAGTCTGGCGCCCAGCAAAACAAAATCCAAGTCCACGTCGGCGCTGGCCGTCGTCGAGCGTGGCCGTCTGACGCACAACGAACAGGACGACATTATCAAGCAATTGAAGGAGTGGAGTCTCTTTGGCAGCTCTGGCAAGGATTACAACGTACAGTTGCCGCAGCAGTCGAAGCTCAGCTGCGAATGTCCTTGTTGTGAGCATTGTCGTCGTGGCGCTGACAGCAACAGACGCCCTGCAGCTGGCAGCGGCAACTACAACAACAACAACAATTTGACAGCCACTTTCAAGTGCTATGACAGCTGCCAGGCGGCAGACAAGGAGCCACTTGCTACGCAAACCCAGTCCCTGGCCTTGGCACGTCAGCTGCCCTGTCGTCGCAGCGTCATGTGCAACAATCGTCAGGCGCACAGCGTGCGGCAATTGAAACGCAACAAGCAACAGCGCCAGAAGCAGCGACACCAGCAGCACCACCACCAGCAGCACCACCAACGCCAACATCAGCACCGCCATCAACATCAACCCCACCATCCACCCCACCATCAACATCATCAACATCATCAACGTCAAGAACAGCGACCCGCCTCACCGCCCTCCACGGCCAAGTTGCTGCTGTCTTTGGCCAGCGGCAGCAGCAACAACAGCAACAACAGCAACAATTGCAGCTGCAGCGAGCCCGACAACGACGATGACACCTGCTCCTGCTCCTGCTCCTGCTCCTCATCCGATTGCGTACAGTGCGCAGCTAATGCGCTTGTCAGCGACAATGAAGATGATGCCGATGCTGATGCTGATGCTGATGCCGGGCCAGGAACTGGGCGCTTGGGAGCAACTGCAACGACTTTGTTCTGCGCAACTCCTCACAGATGACAAACCAATTACAATGCACCGAGGTTCTTGTTCTTCTTGTGGTTGTACATATATTATTCCAACTTTTGCAATGCGTTATTTAGTTTTTCATTTAGGCGATTTATTTTTATTGAATTACAATTGAATTTTATATTGCTTTAAATCGATTTAAAAGTACTCTACACTTGGGGAGCATATTATATTATTGTCACGACATGTAACTCGGGCAGTAGAAGTATTTATATTCTTGATTAGTATGAACAGACGAGCCTATATATTGTTTGTTTGTCTCACAGTTTTGTCTTTTTGTGACAGATGTAAAAATTTAGCTGCAGCGATTCCTTTTACGATATTTAAACAGACTTAGCAATGCCAAGCTTCAAATCTTATCGTATATGTAGCTCCCAGAGGAAGAATATATAACCAATATGATACTGATGTGCAAGAGTATCTAATCTTCGGCTTGCCGTTAGAATATCCCTCTTTAGAGAACTGTATAATTATAAATTATATAATAGATTTATATTAGTTTAAAGTGCTTTGCGAATTGCGGCCATTTATTAGTTAGGCATTCGCTTTTTTTTAGTACTTTTATTTCAGCCTTTAATCAGCGCAATGGAATACGAAATGTTCACCTTTTGACCTTTAATTTGTTGTTGTTCCAGCAGAGCTCTAATGCATGCTGTTGTTGTTGCTATTCATTTATTATTAATGCAATTAAATTGCAATTTATGTAAAATAATTTTGGTTTTTATCAGCGCGCTGTTTGTTATCCATTTATGTTGTATTTTTAAATATCCAAACAGATTTTGTAATTTGTGTATTGTGTATTTAATAACCGTATTTGTATTTGCATTTGTGCTGTAGTTGTATTTGCACATTATAATTACATTTTGTATGCATTAATCATTAAAATTTATAAAACACGCAACACACACACACACACACACACCCACACACATATGCATACACATAATTACTTATAGCCTTACCTTGAAGATTACTAAAACAAATACAAACTATCTTTTTACCATCTATTCCCCCCCTACTGCCCCACTGTACGAACACTAAATACCCTTCCCTTCCACTACGCTGCCGCACTCTCTATGGATAATGGGGTAAACCATCAGGTAATCGCCGGATGTCTGAGCGCGATTTGAGTCGCATGGGCGGCGCCGAATCGTCTAAATCGTTGGGCGGCATCGGTGGGCCGCTCATTGCCAATAGCCACACGAGTCACAGCCTTAACCAGCACCTAAACCTGAGCAATAGCAACATCAACAGTAGCCACAGTCACAGTCACAACAACAACAACAACAACCACATCAGCGGTAGCATCATGAATCCCCTAGCTGCACACCTGCCCAATAGCAAATCGGTGCCGGCCCTGCATCATCACACGGGATCTGGCAACATATGTAAGTGTGTGTGTGCTTACACCCCGCCCCCTCCCCCTGCCGCACTAACAATCTGTCCATGGCTTAATTGATTTCTCTCTCGCCCTCTTCTCTGTTCACCTGGCCGACAGCCCTGGCCAATTCCAAGTCACGCAGCACGCACAGCTTGCATAACAATGCGGGCGGAGGCGGCGTCATCGGAGGTCAGCCAAATGGCAGTCACAACAATCCAAATCCGAATTCGAATCCAAATGCAAATGGAAATGGAAATGGAAATGGAAATGGCAACGAACAGGGCTTCTACCAGAATTTAAGCGTGTATCGTGCACAAAATCAAAGTCAACCCATTTTGAATGAGCGGTAAGTGTTGGTTCTTTCAACTCAAAGAACTTAAATATATAATTTATTGAATATTACATTTAATGAGGGTCGAAGAAATTTCTTTTTCACATGTTACGATTTTCTTTATTTATTTCAAGCCTATAATTCTTCAGCCAAAAATATTGAATTATTGTAAATATTTTATTAAAAAGTTTAAGAGAATTAGTAAGGGGAAGGATTTTGATTTATTTTGATTTATCTCTATATATAAAACTGTTTGTCCTGACTTGCTGACGTATTTCACGTTCGAACATCTTTTTTGTTTACCATCCGAATGGTCTCAAACTCATTTCTAAAGATCTTTGCTCAAATTCATTTGTTGGGTGTTTCACACTTTTCAAATAAATGCATTCCTCCTTGGTGGAAATGGGGGTCAAAGAATTGGTGATTGACGTTTCGCATTCAAATATATTTGCATAGATCTATACGAAAAATCATTTCACACTTTTCGCATAATCAAAGCTTTTCGATGGAAAATGCGGGTTAAAGATTTTTTGGGATCAGCTTTAAGTTTCGTCCGATTGACCTTAAACTTACATTAAAAGCCCAACAAAAGAACTTCATAAATTTGTGTTTCAGCGATTTTAGAATTCTAGTTAATTGTTTACCACGCGTTCGGCTTTAAAATCAATTTCAAATGCGCCCTTCGTGGATGATAAATGCGGGTGAATATAGCTCATTTTTTTGTTTAGCACAACACTTGCCACGGGCAAGGCCGGGTAATACCCGCTAGTTATCCTATATGGACATAGCTCAAAATCTTCCACACTCTCAGTAATTCGGTCAAATCTCATCAGATTTTTACGAAGTTTTCTCCATGGTATGGCCTCTAGATCAATTTGGAATCTAAATCTGACAACATTATTCTTGTTTTAAGGTTTTGTAATATGAAGTAAATCTTAAATTTTTGTATACGTACCAAGGGCAAGGCTGTGGTTGTACCCGCTAGTTTCTTCATATATTAATGATTCGTCAACAATTGTGAACAATTGTCATATTTGCCACGTTTAGATATCAAAGAAGGTTAGAATGCATGTCGAATCAATCCAGATATGCAATCGGAAGTATATCTGTATCCAATTTAAAGAAGGGTTGGGGAAATATCTAATGTTAATTCAGGTCATATCAGAATGCCAGGGTGCACTTAAAATTTAGCAAAAATTGTTGCTATTGGTTTTTCTTTTTACGTGTTGCTGTTGTGAGTACACGCTCAAAATTACTTGGCTTATTCTAGGATGACATTGCGTATAAAGAAATTACTTTACGGCTTCATTCCCATACAAAGTGAATATCAGGTGGTTGAAATGCGGCATGTAAGTGAGTAATTAACATGTTGTTGTTGTTCTCGTTGACAATTCATTTATGTGAGTTGCTGCTGTACAGGCGCACCTGCAAACGAAGTTCAAGAGCAACAGCGACACGAATCACAGCTCCGAGTTTATTGAGCACCTTGTTCTCATGCCAATACAGGCACACCTTTTGTAATTACAAAACACGTTGCAAATGGCTAATTTGCCAGCAACACGGCAACAACAGCAACACATGTGACTCACATTAGCAACAGCAGCTGGTTGGAGAAAATGTAATAAGCATTTGTGTTATTTATTATTTACAGACCAAGCATGTCTGCACATGCCGCCATGAGCGCCTACAATGGCAGTTCCCCGCATGCTGCCGCACTGCAACAGCAGCAACAACAGCAGCAACAACAACAACAACAACAACAGCAGCAGCAGGCGTCACCCTACCAACAACATTTGCAGGCTAGCGCCAATCTGCCGAGTCGACCCGTTTCCGCCTATTATCACAGCCAGCAAAGTGCACAGCAGCAGCTGCAACAGCAACATCAGCAGCAACAGCAACATGCCCTGCAACAGCAACAATTCGCGCACAGCAGCAACAATCTGAATGGACAGCAGCAGCAACAACAACATCCACAGCAACTGACGCTCAACAATCGCGCCAAGAGCCAACAAAACTTCCAGCACACACTGCGCATGCAGCAAATGTTGGCGCCATCCATGCCCAACATAAGCAACATGTACCAGCAGCAGCAGCATCAACAGCAACAACAACAACAACAACTGCAGCAGCAGCAGGTGAGCGCCAGCCAGAGCATGCAGAATGTGAACGACTATGTGGCAGGCTATCAGAACGGCGGACTTGACTATCAGCAACATGCGCGACGCAGTCAGCTGCATGAGGCAGCAGCCCTCTACGAGCTGCAACACCAGCAACAGCAGCAGCAACAGCAGCAGCAGGCGTCGCCGAACTTTATAACGTTGCCACCAAAGCCGATTGGCAGCTTACAATCGCCCAGTAAGCCAGCAGGGCCGCCCAGCACCGCGCCCAAGCCACAGCAACAGCAGCAGCAACGACTCCAGCAGCAACAGCAACAGCAGCAACAGGCAGCAGGCTATTTGCCCAGTCATGTGCTGGGCGAGGATAAACCACCTTTGCCGCCAACAGCGACGCATCCGTTGTTCAAGGCGACGCAGCAGCTGACGCCGGGCATGAACTATGTGGCCAGCACGCTGGATCCGCCCAAGGGCAGCTATTTGCCGGCGAATCAAACGGCAGCGCGATCGCTGCACAGTGGCGGCAATCCTTGGGAGCGTGAGGAGCGCGAAAAGGATCTGGAAATGCGACGGGAGCACATACGACAATGGCGTGAACAGCAAATTGCCGAGTTGTCGGCGATATTGGGGCGCAGTCCCCAGCAGGAGGAGCAGCTGAAGACGCTCATACTGGAGCGTGACTTTGAGCGGCGCGCCCAGGAGCTGCAGGAGCAGGAGGAGGACCAGGATCAATCCTACGACAAGGACAATGTGCAGGAGCTGTTCCGATTGTCAGCGAGTGGTGTACAGGTCAGTGCCATACAAACACCCATAACCAACTACCGCCAGACGGAAATCAAGCTGGCTGAGATCAGCGAGAGCAGTCCCGTCGAGCCTGGGGCCCCATCACCAGCAGCGCCGGCAACAGCAACGGCAACGGCAACGGCTACACCAACAGCAGCTGGAACACAGCAGCCCAAGAGCATACTGAAGCATAATCGTTACTCTGAGGGCGGCTCTGGTGGCAGCTCTGCTGGTGCGCCCTCGTCGCCGTCCAAGTCGCAGAAGTCGGCAAGCTTTGCGGACGAACGGCATCTGCAAACGGAGCATCCCATTTCCAGTCTGGCCAAGGAGCTGACACAGCTCAGCATGCTCGACAAGGACAACAACAATGAGACGGCCGCTGTGGATGGTTCAGTGCCGCCGCCGCCGCCCCCGGAACGCAATAGCTCCTATCTGATAATGTCACAGCAGAAGATGCGCACCAGCGTTGGCGGCAGCTCCAGCTCCTCAATGGGACTGCTTAAGACGGCCACCAGCAATCAGGCAGCCGCTGTGGAGGTCAAAAAGGCGGCAATGCACGGCGCCACGAACAACAACAACAACAACAACAACAACTTGAGTGGCAGCCTCAACAATAATACGATGCAAGCCTCGCCGCTGAGCGCGATGGAATTAAATGCCGCCTATGTGTCGGCCACTGGCACGGGGATGAGCATGGGCACACCGCCACCGCTGCTGCAGAGGGACAACAAGCGGGTGAGCTTCCATGATGAGGACAACAACTTGTTGGGCATCCAGCAACAGCAGCAGCTGCAACATCAACAATATCTGCTCGACAGCTACGCGCTGGAACAACAGGACTTGGACACCATACGCGAGGATGCGAGCGTGAGTTACTTTAATCAGAAGGTACCTAAAAATGTTCCATCTACTGATACATATGTTGTATTTCGCTTGTCGCAGTATATGCAGCACAATATGGATGCCTCGATGTTGCCCTCGATGCCGGCCACACCGGATGCGGCGCTCTGGAACACCAGCGTGCAATCAACGCCTGGCGTCATTGGCGCCCAGGAGGTGTACAGGTAAGCCATCCGATTGCATTATAATCCCCATATAGAAGCTAATGATTTGTATGAAATATTTGCAGAGATCCCAGAACACGTCGCCTGGCGGAAAAGCAGCAACAGCAGCAGCAGCAACGCGCTGGAGATGCGGTGCCAGAGAAACTGTCGTTCAAGGAGAAAATGAAGATGTTTGCCCTGGAATCGGGCGAGGATAATACGCCCAAGGATAAGCTGAAAATATCGCGAGCGCAAAGAGACATCGATGCTGTGCACTGAGGATCAGCTGATGTTGATGTATAATTCCAAATTCCAAAAGTAGAAACTGAAAACACCTAATCACCGAATCACCTAATCAGGATTATGAATTGGGGGCCAAGTTGTTACGTTAAATAGCTATATATATATACAATATAGTATATATATTTATCAGACATAGCAGACATATGACAAACCTAACGAATTTGCTTAGCAAGGCAACAAACAATCCATAGTTATTGCGTTATTCCGATCTAAAGATCGCTAAGTTGCGTAGTATTTGTAGCTAAAAGAGTTGATTGATTACAGACAAAACGTTAACTAAATTCAATTAGTGAAAAGCAAAATTAGCATATTCTATCAATAGTCTATATATATATATATATATTTAATTATAAAAAGCCTGGAGACAGGGCAACGAAAGTTGGGCGAGCCACATTTGTAAAGCGTTTTAAACATAATTCTTTACCCAATCCGAATAAGTACTATATGCATATGCATATATGAATATGTTTATGTGCACATATATAAGATATATATATTTGACAAACTGTTGCATCAGATTAAAATATTTAGTATTTACCTTATCGATAACATGTAAATGATGTGCGTTAGTTTAGAGATATTTACCTGGGAATTGTGCGGAACAACAAGAAATGTTTATTATTATTAATATAGTAGGAAATGATAAGCCACGACGTCAAATAACAAATGGTCCAATTATTCAATTATTATTAAAGAGTATAAAAACAAAATGTATATTTACAAACATACAAAAGATTCGACATATATACATAAATATTAATATATATTTTTAATTACAACATTTTCGTACACCTTTTAAAAGCAACAAACAAAGAAACAAAAAACAAAAACCCTATGCATAGACGAAATGTACCAATTTAAATCAAATAGGATTTCACTACACAAGAACCTAATGGCTTTAAAACAAAATATATACACCTATATTTGTTATAGCATACGATTTATTCGAAGAAAAAAAATTACTACAATTGCAACAGCTAAAGAGCAACAAATTATTTTTGTGCATTCCAAGTATTTCAAATATATATTATGCAAATTAAAACATTTTGAATATTATGTAAAAAAAAAGAAAAAGAAGAAAACAATGACAATTTGAAAATTTGCTTTTTAGTTCAACTTTAAGCGCGATTAGTTTTAAACAAATTTAAAATATATCGAACACAAAACGAATAACAAATTGTGCATACTTATGCAAATAAAAGGTTATTAAATTAATTACATAAATTTACAAAAATCTATGTTTAATTCACGCGTAACAACTCTCATTCCTGTAGTTTGAAACTTACTCGATACTCGATACTTTCAACTGGGAACAGTTGGTAGCTTTGGCGCGCAGAACAGTTTTGAATTCGGAGCATGCGCAGTGATTTGTTCCCAGTTCGCAACAGGTGCTGGCATTGATCTACCCGAATGCATTATTTATGAGGTAGGCAAATGGTAAAAATAAAACTTTTTTGAGAAGATTTAATATTTACGACAGCTTCGTGTAAGTTAACAACTTGTCTATTTACCATTTTGGGGGTAAATATTCAAGTCCGAGCCAATTACAATTATTAGCCATAATATGCCTGCTCCTTAAACAAGTGCTGGATACGCCTTGCCAGAACACTTAATTGGCCAGGCAGAGATTATGAGTCAGGCAGTCTTCATTCCAATCTACTGACTAAACTAAACAAAGTTGCGGGCCAAGTTTCTCGGCCGAAATTCAAAAGTCAGACGGAAAACTTTAAACACTTAAGGCCACAAAATGTGGGCGGAAAATTGTCCGGACTTGGGCGTATGTGTGGGCACATGACGTGAAAATTGAAACATAGTTTTCATATGCTTTTCAAAGAAAAGCTCTGCTGACATTTGCCGAAATCTGTTCCCAAGGTGTTTATTTTGTCAAATGCGTAATTTTTTCTAATGATAATATGTTTTTCATCTCTAATGCCCCGCATAAGAGCAACAGGCCCACAAAAAAATATGAGCTCTAGCAGAACTTTGAACACAACTGGGGCAAAATAAATCAAAAAGTGATTAGGCCAGGCTGTTATCTTACTTTCAGCTCCATCTACAGTTTTCCTCTTTCATCTGTTTTTCCGCTGTCCAGCTGTAAATTGTCTGTTGAGTGGCTTCGGCTGTGGCTGTGGCTGTGGCTAAGAGAAAAGCGCAAGGTGTGCACAAAAGATGAGAATGTGAAAAGGAAATTCAAAGTTGGCCATAAAACTTTGGCCACGGCTTCTTTGGTCAGCCGTGTTGATAAATGAGCTCCGTAAAAGGCGGCGAGGGCAATCAAGAAAATCGCGGAAAATTATAGTTGCCAACCCGTAAAGCAAAGCCAAAAAAAAAAACAAAAAACAATGAAAGAAAAGCAAAACAAAAGGCGTCAGCAGTTACCACACAATTGTAAAGTTTTCATCTCCATCTTTTCCGTCCTGAATTATGGCGCGTTTTTTATATCCATCTTGAAATATGCATATATATATACTATATGGAGTATATACGTAGATAATTTGCTTCATAAAAAATGGCAGCTAACTGCAACTATTTAATGAGTTTGAATCGAGGTTATGAAAAGACTGAAAAGTTTTCAAGAACTACGCTTAAAAAGATTTCGCCGGCTTTTGAAGATAGCAGGGTCTTAAAATGCGATTATGAATAAGGAGTAACAAAAGTATTAAGTGGGCTCTTGACATTAATTCAAGCGTGAAAATGTATCAACTAAGTTATTACTTATGAGGTAAATCCAAGAATTTTCTTCTTTTATTTTTATACTATCTTGTAATATTTATTTAGTGCCACAGAATAGTTCTTCTATACGAACAAATCTTCCAATATTTACCTTTTAGCAGAGAACATTTACCCGACGCGTGGGCATTGTAACACGTGGAAAATAATCTATTCGTCCACTTTTCACTCATCATTGACGCTGATGCTTTTTAATCCGTTATATGTTTTGGACTGCAGCTGCGCCAGACGGAGAGCGAGCACTATCGCTAAATTAAGAGAGATACATAAGTGAACTACTTTCACGCCATTGGTCGAATTGCGTTTGATCCTGTTATCTTAGTTCTGTAACTAGCCGCACAATTAAGAGAGCCGAAAGCGCAAGCAGCAAAAATTGCACATGTTGCGCTCTTAATTGTTATTGTATTGGTATAAATGCCGGATTAGCGTAGGCACGCGCTGATCGACAATTTAGTCAGTGCGCGTTTATCCTGTTGATCGGTCGGTTAACCGCGTTTAGTTTGTGCGGTGTGTGTTTTCTAACTGCATTATTATATATCAGTATATCACCTGTTCACCGCCCTTAAAGGTACACATGCATATTAAATCGGGAAAATGGTACATGGTTTTTGGCGAAAAGCTTTTTTCTACAAGCAAAAAAAAGCGCGCTTTTAACTGTGCATATTAAGATTAAGAGAGAGAGAGAGCAAGACGGTGCAGTTATTCTAATGAAAGCTTTATACAACATTTTTGTTCTCAATTTGATATTTATTTCCCTTTTTATTCCCATTTGAGGGTATTATAATTTGTTCATGAATTGTGCTCCCATTTTAGTACACATATAGTTTTGATTAGGTCGACGAGCTGAGTACCGTCTGCTTTTTTTTTTATGCAAGCTCTGTTTTTATTTGCATTTTTAGGTTCTTAGTCAATACGCCTCTGGCTTTATTTACGCAAATCCCTTAGTCTTAAACATAATCGAATGCTTAAAGTTACAAATGCTTAGCAATCTAATTCCAAAAGCAATAACAAAGGACATGACATATTATATCTAGAAATTGTATAAAAAAAAGGTGCTGAAATGATGTGAAAGAAATCTGCAAACACCTTCGAAAGTGTCGGCAGTAATATCAAGTTAATAAGGTGTGCAATTTACCTAGAAATTAATCTTATGTCTTAAATGGATAATGCCTCAATTTTGGATACCACGTGCTCATGTCTTATGGAGAGCCACCAGCAGAAATATTAGCCATTGATGGAGACTATTATAACCATGCTCATGTCTGTACAGGCCGGCAGCTGTCGACATTATTGCAGAGGCGGAATACTCTCCTGCAAAAAAAAGGGGGTGAGTGAATCTGAAATTCTATTATATAACAAGTAAGAGACTCTAGTCGGGAGTTCCCGACTAGGGGATAACCTTAACCCTCTTCTACCAACACCAAATGCAGTAATGACAAAAAAGACTTTCCCTCACTAGGGATCGAACCTGTGACTTATTGCACCACTTTCAAACACAAACAACTTGCCTCTACTCGACAGCCATACCAATAGTTTAATTCTCATGAAAAGAAAACTAATTAAAATAGCAGCACCTTACCACAATGCATGTATACCGAAATTCTTGCAATTTGCGCTAGCTGCCGTTCACACGTGGGCTGCCAATATATATATAACCACACGTTTTCTTTAATAACTTTTGTGTTTCTTAGCCGATTTTGATGAAATTTTCAACAGTAGATCTTGTTATGCTATAGAATATTCGTATATTCAAAATGAAAATTGCATTTAAATTGTGGTTTAAATTGGTGCGTAGTTCCAATTGGCTTATTTAGCTGATTTATAGCTATGTTGTGTAGGCGGGAGGGGTGACAATAGTTGTAAAACTAAAGATATTTTTATATATGCATATACTATTCGAAAAGCTACTTGTCAGTGTCTCCGGCTCTTATAATTTATGAGATTTGCTCAAAAAAGACGATTTCGATATCGATTTTTATCGATTACCGGAAACAAACTCGTACTGCGCGGGCACTGGGCTTTTATAGGTTCTGAGATCCTTGCGTTCATTAATACGGACAGACGGACAGACAGACAGACGAACAGACAGATGGACATGGCTAGATCGACTTGGCGATTGATGCTGATCAAGAATATATATACTTTATGGTGCCTGATACATACAATTGCACAAATACATTATACCCCTTTTACCCATTTTTAATGGGTACATCTTACCACTGAGTACATGCAGCTGTATGGAAACTGCATCACTATTTTCCGGCTCGCAGGTGTAGTTCCCGGAATGGGTCTTACGCACAACGGGTATGACCAGACTGCCAATCTGTGTAGGTGGGGATTGGAGATTTAGATTTATACACTGAAGGAAATGTTGTGCTCTTGTACCGTGTTGCGACTGTGCTCCGTGCTGCCAAAGATATTCCGATCGATTTGAGTGTACCAGCCGTTCTCAATGCCGCTGGCCTCGTTCGCCGACACCACCTGCTGTTTTTCACGATACCAAACTATATATTTCGGAGCCTCCAGAGTGCCGCGCACTATGCAATGCAGCTCCACTCTGCTGCCGGCCTTCACAAAGCGCTGTTTATCGCCAATTAGCTCCGTTTTGGGTGCTAGTCAAGAGAGATTAAAGAGAATTAAGAATTGAATACGTCTCAATATGTCTATGATATAGGGATGCGGATTAAAAAGGGATGTTTAGATCGAATCAGGTCGTCGTTCCTGTTCGATGTGTTGCAATTATATAATCAGGTTTGAATTCGCATATTTAGCCGCTTAGCTTAGCGTTCCCCATCGACTTACTTATCACGAACAGCTGCACTTTGGCGCTCATCTTTGGCTCGGTGGCCAGTTGGCATTCATACCAGCCTTTATCCTGCAGACTGACATATTTGATGAGCAGCGTCCAGCCGAGGCTGCTGCCGTTTGTGGCGTCCAATAGGCTGCTAGTCAAATTTGCCTGCGATGATTGGAGCAGCGCTGCGAAACGTGCATCATTGATAAAGGTTGTGTGATCCACGGCTATGATATGTTCATCCCGTAGCCGAACCCAGGAGAGGGGCTTGTTTGAGTGCTGATGCAGCTGCAATGACCAAACAATGGGTTGCATTTTGAGATGCTGCCATTCAATCATGATAATCAACTGGCTCCCACCCAGACTTACCTGACATGGCAGATAGGCATGCTGGCCCGCCTGTACTGTAACATTCCGGGACGGCAGACTGAGCTGTCGCCGTGGCAGCTGCTCCCGCTCACGTGCCAGTTGCTTCTCTCGCCGCAGCTGCTGCTCCTTTTGTTCACTGTCGTAGGCATGTAGACGCATATGTGGCTGGGGCTGGAACTGGAACTGCGAGTGGAGCTGATGGTGCGGTTGTTGCTTATTAAGACCCGATTGCAGGGAGCTGGTATCATTGTCATGGCCCGCGGGGATTCGGCTGTAAGGCATTGTCGTTGTCAGTGTCTGGGGCAAATCAGCAGCAATGAAATCCGGAAACGGTGGCAAATACGTGGGTATCGAGAAGCCCTTTGTCAAAGTTGCCGTATCGGGTCGCTCGCTCCAAATGTCCACAGTTTGCTGTTCCGTTGTGCTCTGCTCAATGGCCAATTGATTGACGCCCACCCTGCCCAGCAATGTTGTGGCAGTCGTGGATGCCGGGCTAGTTTCAGTTGCTCCGTTTGTTGCCGCAATTAGCGATGAGTTGTCGCCAATTGTTGACGCACTTGCTGCCAGTGCTGCGAAATAGGTCAAGAAAGAGGACATCAGTGGGTTTATGCTCAAATCAAGCTCAGTTACTTTATTTGAATTATACAAGACTTAAGTAACATTATTCTCAATGAATACTTTATGCCAATAAGCTGCTGGCAAGACAGACGAAGCATAAATGTGCTCGATCTGAAGATACGCAGCCTTAGACTTTGAAACCATTTGTGTTTACTGTTCGATAGTTATGCAATTTTGTGGGCTTACCAAAAGTCAAAGCTATGCGTCCATTAAATACCTTATTAAATCTAAAAGCCAAATATTTATGGCCGGAGCAAATAAATCAGTTTTCGGTATATAAGCTCTGTCTGTGGCATACATTTTCATTTAAATGGTTAAAGGCTGTACAATATACAAAGTTGAAATCTCAAATATTAAAAAATCTTTGAGCAAATTAATTAATTAAATTTGCCATGAATGTTTCCTGTTCAGCGGCTGCCAAGTGTTTGGTAAGTGTAAACTTTAAATTAGTTTTTGCATGGATAGACTTAAATCCAGGTCCTAATCCTGGACAAAGCCTACACAGAAGCAATTGATAAATTGTAATGTAATTGGATACAATTTCTGCATTCGATTTTCATGCAAAGTATTATTAAATGTGATTTGCTATTGCTAATCTTTATTTCAATTATGCTGAAATTAGTTTATTAGGCCCTTTGATTTGTCTTCAAATAGTTAACTCAAGTAACCAAACGCTCACGTCAGATGGAAATAATTTTTTTAAAATTAAATCTTATTCTTATTTTATTGTCAAAACTACGTTCAACGTTAAAGCAAACATTAGAGAAATTTCAAATATCACAAAGCGCCAATAAAACTTTGAGCGGCTTTCGCTGCTGTTAAGCATCCTTGTCGCCGGGGAAAAGAGGATTGCGTTAGGTTGAAGAAGCTTTCCCCGGAGCCGAGAGCATGGACTTTGATGCCCTGTGGCTGCGGTTGCCAGCGCGGTCGAAGGAACTGACGGATGCGGTCAGCAACCGCAGTCGCCGCCTGCTGCCGCTTGTGGCACGACTCTGTCTGACTGCCACCTTCTTGGAGGATGCGCTACGAACGTGGCAGCAGTTTTTCGAACAGCTGGTGTACCTGCAGATAGAGCTTAACTGCTCGGAGATGCTCTCCATTTTAATTGTGGTCGTTAATCTGGTCGGCCAGCTGCTGGGCTCGGTGCTGATTCTGCTGCGTGTGTGGGTCAATGTGGCCGTAACGCTGCTCGCCAGCCTGGTGCTGCTGCAGGTCCATATGCATATGGAGCCCTGGCAGCTGCAGTTGCTCTTGCGTAATTTTGCCTTGCTCGGCGGCCTCCTGCTGCTGCACGTTGATGTCCAGGAGACGGCGGCAGCGGGCCGCAACTGTGCAACAGCAGGGGCAGGCGTTCCCCTGCTGATCAATCGCCGTCCTCAGCACTTTATGCGGCTTGCTGGCCGCATACTTCTGGCCTGCATGTATCTTACGCTGCTCCGACTGGGGCAAGGACTCGCCACACTGGCCATCAATGGACTGGGCCTGCTGCTGATGGCGCTGATTGTGCTCGGCTATCGGACCAGGTTAGCTGCCCTGACCTTGGCACTGGTTCTGATCCTTTGGAATCTGTACTGGCATGCCTGGTGGCTGGTGCACGACCCCAGCAGGGATGTGCTCAAGTACTATTATTTTCATACGCTCTCTGTTGTCGGTGGCTTGCTGCTGCTCGTGGTCCTGGGACCAGGTCATGTTTCACTGGACCAGTACAAGAAGCACTGGTAGCTGTGTCTAGTGAATCCTTTCCCCTCTCCTCTGTTTGTTTCACGAGTTTGATTTGATTTCGCAACCGCATTTCAACTTGCCTCTTGTTGCGGCTTGCTCTTTAAATTAATAAATTGATCCGCCATGGAGGCACATTGTACACCCCCCGTTGAATTGATGTGCCTCATCTTTATCATCATCAAATCAAGTTTGTAGCTCGAGGCCAAGTCTCAATGGCATATTAAAATCCCACAGATGGCCCGCCGAAAAAAAAAGTAAGTCCACGCCCCGTGCATTGTGGTCGCTTCCGAAACCGCCCCCGGCAGGCAGGCAGGCGATCACGCCTACTTTCTGGCACGAACTGAATTTAATCCCATTTCCATTCCCCCCCATATTCCGCTCAGATTCGTTTTGTATTTCAGCAGCTTTCGCCTGCCTTTCGCCTCGAGCATCAAATTTACGCGCAGCATAACAAATTATAGCTAAGTATTTATTATGTAAATAATGTAATACCAAATGAAAACACACACACACACACACACACCCACACACCCACACACATACAGATACTTACACAAGAAATGTGCGCACAAGTTAACATTTTTATGGAAATGCTTTTGTGGAGCGAAAAAAAAAAGCATTTGCTAAAATAGTTTCGCCCACTTTGAGGCAGCTGCTGCTCCCGGCTGTTGGCCAACTAAGTGGCCGAGGTTATTGTTTTGAAATTGTTGAAAAATGTAACTTTAAACGCAACATCTAATGCTCAAAAGTTGCTGTTGTCAGCTGTTCAATGGAATCATGTGAAAGCTTGCGATAAATTTAAACAAAATTTGCAACTTTTATTGTAGTCGCATTTGTTTTGTGGCCAAGTTGCAACTTTATATTGTCATTGCTGCTCGCACATATCGTTGCAATTAAAAACTATTTGCCGGCAAAAGTTTATAAAAATAATACGAAATAAATTACAGCAGCAACAACAACAACAATAACAACAACAATCACTGCAAAACTAAAGCTTCAACAACATTTGCCGTGGTAATTAGTTAAACAGTTGTGTAAACCACATAAACTGATTTCGGGTTTTCCGGCTTTCCACTTTTATTACCTTTTTTTGGTCTGCTGTTCTTTTCACTAATGAAACATAAATGATTGTAGTTCTCATTCCGTGCTGGGGTATATATGGAAAGCCCAAAAAGAACTAGGCCGATAGTTTTTAACTAAACTTATTAAACGAATAATAGTCACAGTAAATTGCCTAATGTTGCGTCTGCAATGTAATTTAAAAATTAGTTCACATTCATTGAGCAAATGATTAGTTGAGCCTTTTTCGGGCTGGGCTGGGCTAGAGGCGTCTGTTTACAGCACTTTCCAGGGGATAACAACAAAAGCAAACTGTTTAGCAATAATTTAGCTCGTTGTAATTGGGAAGCGCTTCTCAGAGGAAGGAGGTTGGCAAACAGCACAGCTTCTGTTCTGTCCCCGAAAAGTCTGCTGTGTTATCAGCTGGCGCCTCGAATTACGCAAAGAGTGGACCAGGACGCAGCCAAAAATGAAAATATATGGCCTGCTTTAATATGAAATGATCTATCGGATTGCTATATTGTTCGGAACGAACGGCATACAAATACTTATAAGTTTGCCCACCGAATTGTGCTTCTATTTAACTGAAGCAACTTGTTTGTTTGCTACAAAGTGAAGGCACAACTGAGTGCTGGTTGACCTCATATGTTAGCCGTGGCAAATGGTCCCAGATTTCAGGCCTAATTACGCGTTCAACATGCCCCAATTCTGGCCAGGCTTATATTCCATGCGAACTTTGCCTCTCATTTTGCTTGCGTTAATTCTTTAGTTATTAATTACACGTGACACAAACATTTATTATTTTTCTTGTGTGCGCCTTGGCTAAAGTGAAGACGCAAAATACATTCGGTTATTAAAGAAGAAAGGTTCCTTTGAATTTATGTATATATGTATATATATTTATATACTTAAATGATATATAAGTCAGTCCTCATAAGGCTGCATAAAATAGGATTAAAAATAGAAACTTTGAGTTTTAAAAATTGTGTCTAGTATAATCTGCTTTTTCCTTTTCCTTTTTCCTTTTAGACATGCATAACAGATCATTGCTGTTAATTTAATGCATTATTTTTTCAATTATTATTTTATGGTCTGTCAAATTTGCGCTTGTTTGCGCAGCCAGACAGCTGTCCCTGCCTGCAGATAAAATGGACAACCTACCCGGAATGTCTGCTCGCTCTTCTATTCTTTTATAAGGATGAAGCACACGACCTTTTCACGGTCGCTTGACTTGATGTTATTTTAATTTCAATGCACGCATATTCACACCCTATAGCGGAAGCAGACGTTGCGAAAAAATTAAAGGGCATCTGCCGCCGCAACCGCATGACGTGGCCACAAGAACCGCGTCTCTGTGCCTCCGTCGTCGAGCTATGCGCCCAGAAGGCGACCACACATTTATTTATTCGGTCGTAGTTAAATGGGCCTGCAGACAGGGCCCTGAGTCGTAGCTACAGTTGGCATACGCATATTTTAGCACATTAATTAGAGGGCATAACTCGTCATTTATTGGGTCGTAACACACACACACTCGCACACACACGCACACGCACAACAAATATTGGTCAGCTCACGCACTTGCCAGCTTGAGCACACACAACTAGATCCATGCATAATCGAACAGTTCAAAATGGCTGTCACACACACACACACACACATATGCACACTCAGAGAAACTCTAGAAGTCAATATGCTTAGTGCCAGGTTCCGGCTGTGATGGGCACCAGACCCACATCCGGCGGCGGTTTGGCTTGTAAACCAAAACAGCGTACACATTGCATTGCGAAATAAAGCGCAAAAAAAAAAACAACAGAAAAACATATAGAGAAAAGTATGAAATCATAGATTTCCCTGCCCAGCGGCGCCCTCCCAGTCCACGACCTACATCAACAGTTTTGCACATTTTATCAACGGCCGCACGTTTCTATTGTTGTTGCCCTGCCAAGTGGGGCAGAGTGACTGGGTCGCCAAGTTTGCTGCATATTCCAATAAACTAACATGACCCTTTAAAGCATTTCATGTATGTGCACGCTTTTTCTGTACAATATGAGACATAAACCGAACGAAATTGGGAAAAAAAAAATGTTTTTTTAAACAAGTGAAAATATTCTTGCACTTTTTCTTATATCTCTGATAATAATTAAAAAATACTAATGAAAACATAATATCAATTAAATTGTTTAATTAAAAATTGCAAAGTGCCAAAGTTCAAGCTCGGAGTCCTGAGTTCATGTGGGCAAAAAACTAGGTTAGGCAAGCGAACCGAATTTGAAGTGTATTTGCTTAAGCAGAGACTTAATTTTAGTTTCTATCTAACATATATTTGTATGCCCGGCAGGGTATTAATTGTCCGGCACATCCGCAACACTTTCTACATCTTGTTCGTGTTGTTTTAGCGAATGACGGGGCGGCGCTCACAACGTCGTTTACTTTGATTTCTTTGGCATTTCGGTTTGTTTTTTAGCAATTACATGGCCCAAGCGTGGAGTGGGCGTGGCGCCCATTTAACTCTTGAAAGCACAACCAAAAAAAAAAACGAAATCGAGCTCTCGACTTATTTTGATTGCTTTAAAGCGACGCAAAAATGTTGCCTACTTTTCAGCGCGGGTTAAGCGACTAACAATCGGCCGCCTGCTGAGTCTGCGTTGTTATTGTTGCAACAGTTGTTGTTGTTGTTGTCGTTGTTGTTTTTTGCTGTTTTGTCGTTTCTAATTTGCACAGACGAATAAACAAATACTCGCATGAGAAGCATACACATACGCATGTACGTATATGTCGGGCTCAAACTGAAGCTGGGTTGATTGTTTTTTCTGCACAGCATGGGGCGACTATTTGTTTATTATATTTTTATTTATTTTTCCAGAGGAATGGCGATCGTTGAGCAAGCACAAATAAACATACGCAATATCTACGGCGATGCGTGTGGATTCTTTTATTATTTTACTCGGACTAAAAAATTTTATAAAATTTTTAATAGACCTGAATGAAGTCCAGTTTGCTTTAGAAATTAAATTTAGTAAACACACACACACACACACAGACATTTTTCAGGCAGCCAGCAGACGGTCGGAATGATATATAGCTTCCATCTCAGGAAATGAGAATTTACAAGCTCTGCACGAATTCGGCTAATGGCTGTATTAGGGACGTCAACTCTTTGGCTTCACTTAGCGCAGTTATTTAATTAAAGCCCCGGAGAGCCACGCCCCGCGTGTCCGCGAAGCGCCCATAAATAAATTAAATGTGACATTTGACCGCCATTTGTCCTGGACGCCAGTTTCTTGGCAAATACTTGTATCTAATGTGTGAGTTCGCATAAAATATAGTTGGTAGTTCGTTCTAGCTGTTGTTGATGTAATTAACCGAGCACCCCAGAGATGGAGAGATGGGGCATCATCCCCTAAGTCTGACTTCTATTCTGATTCCAGCTCTGAATCTGACCTTGGCAGTTGCGCTGATTGATGGCCTAAGTGTTATTTGAGTGTCTATTTAGATTTTTATTTTATTTAGCTGCTCTTGGCTTTTGTTTCTGTTTTTGCCACATTTGGACTCTGCTTTTCCCACTTGGTCTCTATCAAATCATATAAGCAGCAAATTGGATGGACACGTGTGTTATTAATGATATCGCCTTGGCCTTGAATAAAGCTCAACTTAGATTGATTAGTCTGCGTGAAGCTGATGCCAAATGAAGAAGGATTAATAGAGAGATGTGATTATGATTATTTCACATTATATTCAATTTTTAAACAAACAAAAATTTTGATTGAAGTTGCCAATTTTCTTAATTGTTATTATGTTCCCAAATGTTTATAAATCAAATGAAGTTTATCTAGCTAGACAATTTAATTTTCTTTCATCAAGTGTCCACTGTCAGAAATGTATTTGGCATACATTAAATACTGAGAGGAGCAATGCAAACAAATATCACAAAACAACTTTGCGCATATTCTGTGATATTTTTCGAAAAACATTTTTTGGCAAACAAACAAAGGAAAACTGCTGCAAAGTAGATGGAAGCAGTATGCAGTTGCTGTGTGTTCTATCAGGACATGGTTTTAATGAATTGTAATTCGAGCACGTAGCACATAGCACTCGAAATCACGTCACGCATACGACCTGTTGAACAGACGAAAACTTAATCAACTACGCAGCTTGGCTGCAGATGCATAGTGAAATGCCAGGCAGGCAACTGGCTGGGCTAAGTTTCAATTAGACCAGCCTTTGGTGTATACTGGAACAGGATATGCCAGTCATTTTCATAAAACACACTCGAAAAAAACAAGAATCTTGCATAGTATTTGCCCAGTCAACAGTGCGTATGTGTAATGAATTTTGTTTCGAGTACGGAATACATTCCTGTGACAGGTGTTTAGGAAATATCAAGCTGTACATGTCCGTGTGTGAGCGTGTTTATGTGTGTGTGTCTGCTTGGATAAATGAAAATTTGCTTAGCTCGATTAAATGAGCTCGACAAGCTTATAAAAATCGTGCCAACGAGTTGCCAACAACAACAACAAGAACAATAACTGAAACAACGATGCTTACAGCGACAATGCAGCCGGGCAAATCTCATCATGCAAATTAAATTTGGCAAACGCTTCCGACACTTGCACAAAAATGTGCGAAATTGAATTAAATATGCATGCAAGAAAACAGACAAAACGGGAAAAGAGAGCACGTAGCCCAAAAAAGTTTGGACCATGTGTAGGGATGTGCCCTATATGTACATATTTACAAGCATAGAATATGTGTACTTAGCATGCTTATTTGTATGCATGTGTGTGTGTGTGTGTGTGTGTGTGTGTGCTCGTTCCTGGAAGTACTTTCTCCAGCAGTCACCATGTCGCTAAAAAAATGAGAGTCATCCACTTGTACAACTATCTGTTTAAAGATTTTAGTTGAAAGTTTTTATGATGATTATTAACCGACTTTGCTTGGGCAATGGTGTTTCCTAAAATTTGGACTGCTCAATCAATCAGTCAATCAGTCATTTAATAAAAAGATTTTTAAAGTTGCATAAATAAAGCGCCATCTGATCTTGTCTATAAGCTATGCGTTAATCAGTCCATTAGTCAGTCAATCAATCAGTTGGCTATGTGCTCTGTGTTGCTGATCAATACACTGCAATAAGTGAGTCATTCAGTCAGTCATTCATAAGAAAAAGATTCAAATTTCTATTAACTAAGCTGCGAGGATATGTCAGTCAACCGATCAACCAATCAGTTAGTCGGGATCTGCGCAATCAATCAGTCAATCAGTCATTCAATAAAAACAGTTGTATAAGTTGCATAAATTAAGCGCCATCTGGTCGTGTCTATGAGCTGTGGGTTGATCAGTCAGTCAATCAATCAGTTGCCTATGTGTTATGCGTTGCTAATCAACACACATCAATCAGTCATTCATAAGAAAAGCTTCGAATTTCTATTAACTAAGCTGTGTGGATATGTCAATCAGCCAATCAGTCAGTCAGGATCTGCAATCAGCCATTTAATCAGTCAATCGCTTTTCAGTCGATTTTATTTCCGGGAACAGCCCGTTTCTTTTCACTATAAAGTAAAAGATGTTTGTACTTACGGGTGCGCATGCCACGAAAGCTGACAGCTGCCAGAAATGCCAGCAGTACGCTGCTAGCTCCCTTGAATCCAGATCCAACAGCAAATCCGCTGCCCCTCCTGGCAACAACTTTTGCGCCAGGCTTTGCAGCTCCTCCTCCTCCTCCTCCTCCTCCTGCTGCTGCTGCTGCTGCTGTGGCTCCTTCAGCTGCCCGTCGACAGCGCATTTTATTGCGTGCGAGGATTGGTGGCTGCTTCGTGTTACACCTTGGATATGTGTATTTGTATTCGTTGTTGTTGTTGTTGTTATTGTTGTTGTTATTAAGTTGTTGTTTTTGTTGCTGTTGTTGTTGTTGTTCGCTTGTTTTTGTTTTTAATCCGAGTTTCATCAGCTCAAGTAGCTTGTCATGCCCCACGGCATAGAACACACATGCATATTTGTTATTTGACTTGTTTGTGCTTCTGGCTCTGCTATTTAATTATATTTTGAATGCTTTCCTAGAGTTGCGTTGCCTGCATTTGCATATAACTCGTCCCAGCCTCCGTACGTGACTCTGACTCGCATGTTTCTGGCCAGGCTCAGGCCAGCCGCAGGCCCAAAACCTAACCCCAACTCATTTCGCATTTTATTTGGCAAAGGCAACCGCAAAACGAGAATGAAAAAGGTTTTTAGAAAACCACAGAAGCCACCTATGGGCGGCTACTGAGCCGGGGAGTTGCTAACCATTCCCATCAAGGAGGCTACGGGATGAATGCATATTTATCTTGGCTGCAGCCGAGTGCCTGGCAACTAGCTGGAAATTGCATTGCCTGGCTCTGGGGCAGTCGATTCTGGAGCTGCCCTGATTGTAAGTCAATAAATTAATGAATTGCGCTCGGCAACGGCAAGTCACATCGTTTCTGTGCCAGATTATAGATACCCGAATCCAAATACCAAATACAGCTAGCCTCGATGGTGTTAAGGCAAATGGCTCCTGAATGTTGTCGCTGCATTATCTTGCCCGGTTAATAGAGACACCACCTCCCCGGAGAGCAGCTTCTACCACAACCAATTTAAACTTTCAGAAATTATCTTGTGGCAAGTAACAGCAACAATAACAACACAATGCGAACGTAGCTGGGAGCCACAAAAGATGTCACATGAAACTATGGCAAAAGCTGGCAAGTTAGCACAAACATAACTTTGACCTCAATTGTATGACATATAGTAGGTAAAAAGAAATGCAAGAAATGACATATTCTTTCTTTGGACCACAGAAACTAAGTTGCGTTTTTCAAAAGAAAGTGCTTTCTTTAAAGAAGTTAGAAGTAAAATTTAACCGTGGCCTATACAAACTTTTACACAGGTGTGTTGACATGTGTTCAATCAATTTTCTACTAAGATCTTCTTAAATGAGTTTAAAGCCAATTAATTTAAATTAATTTAAAAAAAATATATAAATTATATACCACAATTGTCCACATTAAAAAAAGTTAAATACTCTTTAAAATGCTATTTTCTGTCTTTAACGGTTTTGACAGATCATCAGTCAATCAATCAGTCAATCATGAGAACCAATTGATATAAATAGGTTTTTTATTATAATTAACTTGTTATTTGCTCTTAGTAATTTATAAGAAATTAATTGAACAGCTTTTCACATCATTGTGCTGTAGTGCTGTGAAAATTGCTCTTCAACCTGTTACAACTTTTAATTGATTCGGTCGTCAGTTTTCTCATTGTCAGCTTTTTTATTTTTTTGTTCTTTTTGTTTTTTCATTATGCTTTCTCAACGGCATTCCTTCGGCAAATGACAGCAGCTCAAAGACGCCCTAATGAGTTTAAAATCTACCTTTTTTTTCTCACAGAGCACAAGTGTAGGAGTCTAGACGTGCTCTCGAGCTCGGGCTTAGCAAAAAGTCGATTCGGATTATATTTCAATATATTACACCATATGATATGCTGCACTGTACGGGCTTGACACGTGTGTGAATGGCACCTAAGCCTGGAGGCTGCTGCAAATGATTTGCCACATTCTTCACAGCATTCACAAATCTCACATGATTCACGTTTTTTTTTTTCGTTATTCGTTTTTTGTTTTTATTATTTTTGTATTTTACGAGAACTCAACGACGCAATCAGCGTTTGACGCGGCGTTTGACGTCTTTGACTTTAGATCTTTTGCTCTTGTTGTTGTTGTTGTTGTTGTTGGTGGTGTTGTTGTTGTTGTTGTTGTTGGCTGTATCCGTTCTAATGCGCAGCAATTGGAAATGTGATTTTTGTTGATTTATAAAGGACACATTGCAATTCACAGACACATTCGGATTTGTCTTTTGATTTGTATTCACCCACACACACACAAAAGACACTGGCGCGACTGTTGCCCCCGCTGATGGGGACGAGCACTCGCATTTAGATTCACATTCACATTCACATTCGTATTCGTATTCGTATTCGTATTCATTTATTGCTGCTGCTACAGTTGTGGCACGCGCAACGCCCAGTTCCTGATATTTTGTTGTTAACAAACGCAACAACAACAACAGTGTTCGTTTTATTTTAAACTTCGCGCTCGTCTTTCGAATTTGTCAGCCTCTCAACAGCTTTTGGTCGGTCGCTTTGGTGGTTTGCTGTCCGCCCGCTCGCACATCCGCCGCCGAGCCATGCAAATTCGCAACTAAACAGCCACAGCAAAAAGAAGTCACGCGTGGAGCGTGCCAATGCCAGACCTTTGCCAATTTAAAGTTTCATCTGATTTCTGATGTTTCTCGTTTCTTGTGGTCGTCGTTGTCGTTGTCGTCATCGTGCGTGCTGCAGCTCCCCTTGCCTGATGTTCCACTTCTCACATGTTTCGTATTTCATTTGCCTATCATGCCGCTGTTTGGCTTGCTTGATTCGTCACATTTACCCCTCATTTCATGCCGTTGTTTCGCCTCGTTTCTTTTCATTTCGTTGCACATGGCTTTCAGGGGTAGCGCAACGCAAATGGGATGCTGTCGGCTGCTGTTAAATGTAGCGCATGACTGTTCTCAGCAGGCTGTTAAAATTCTCTGTTAACCGTTTCATCGAAGCAGGCCGTTAAAGCCAGTATTTGTTGCGGGCTTGTTAATGTGATATTTTAGCTTCGCCTTAAGCAGGACATTTCCTATAAAGTATTTATAATTTAATTTTACGAGATTACCTATGCTTCTAAGACGCCGAAAACTTAACGGACCACCATCTCATATAACTCTCATTGTAATAATCAGTCAGAAAATTAGTTTTGTGGCCTTCACTTTGTGTAGAGTTGTAATTGGACCATTGCTCGTCGCGAATTAATTAAATAGCCCGTCACTTACTCATATTGCAACGCTTTCGACTTGAACAAATTAATTTTCCATCCTGAAGAACTCAATTAACATGATGTCTTTTGAGCCACTAACAGCTCTGCAATGTTTATTCTCCCCTCAGTTGCAGCCCCCCCCCCGCTACCTGCTCAGCTCTTTTACATATTAAATGCGCATTTATTTCCGCAATTCAATTCAATTGTATTTACAAATCCAACTTACATTCCATACATTTGTATGGCAGTCATATTGCATAATGGCTATAAGACTACTCACCGTTGTGTATGTGATGTGTGTGTGTGTGTGTGTATTTTTCAGCCACTGTTTGGAGTTGGCGGGGGGCAGAGGTAAGTCGTAAGAAACAAGTAACGCACGAATAATTGAGTGCGCATCGCACAAAGGATTCTCGCGTTGACGGCCAGCTGTATCGGCAGCGGGTGGAGGAGGCTCCGCCTCCAACTTTGTTGGCCAAAGAGGAAAAGACTGAACTACATGTTTTATTGACAGAGAGACACGTGGCAAAAAGCATAACAAAAACTGGAGTTAAAGAAATTGCAATGGCCAAAGCAGCGAATATTGTATTCCCTTTAAAACGCTCTACAGATTCGTTTAATCGTTCGTCGAACCTTTGACTGGGTAATCTAATCTCTGCGACTGTTATTTTTATACCCTCTTCAACGTGAATAATGAAGTCGCTTTGGCAGTTGCTCTTTCTACAAGAGGGTATATATGCTTACAATGACTCGATTGCTGCTCAGGACTCAAGTACAAGTCGTTAAAAAATAAAGACCCCAAAAGAAGTAGCTGCAAATTGAAAAGCGCAACTGCAAGATACTACTCAACCCCCCCACTTCAGGCCTGCGTCTCATCTCAGTCTCCATCTCCATCTCAGTCTCAGTCTCAGTTTCAGTCTGATTGCACGAGTTGCCTTTCGACATCATTAAAAAGTGTTTAAATAGCGCTCGTCGCACGCTGCGTATACGTAATATAATGTCTCCTCGCTTTTATGACCAAAGAGCAGCTGCATTTGCATAGCCCGTCTTCACTTCTGTCCAATTGGCATAACTTTTATTGCAGTCGGAATTTCGCATGGAAATTTAATTAAGCAGACATTTTTATCATTCACACATATGCATGTGTCGGGGGCCTTTGCAATTTACTTCAATTTCATTTGCATTCCCTACGATTGCTTGGCAAAATAATATCCGAACACTTGATCAACTATTTGGGCCAATGCCACAGTTGATAAACAAAACAACAAATGAAAAGGATAAAATGTAGGCAGGCTGAAGGATTGCAAAATAAATATGCCCAAAATTTGCATGGCAGCTGCAAACAAAGAAGACTTGCAACATTTAAATATTGCACAAAATATATTTGCCACAAGTTCTTTTCTACACTTGCCTCTAGCTTCGAGTGCAACATATATTTAGGGATTACCCCAGATTATTAAAAATGTACAGCAATGCAAATAGGGGCGACCCACTATAAGCTCGAATACGAAATAACAATTAAAGTTTAGTATTTGCTCTCACTTCTTGTCTTATATTTGCATACAAATCAAATATAGAGTATACCAGTTGCTGTAATATTCCCGACTCATTGCATTTATTTTGAAGTTTACCAAACTGAAAGCAGGCGACATTCAAGTGTCAGCAATGTTTTTCAAAGTTGGGCAGTTGATAAAAACTAAGTTCGGGGTAGCACGAGCCCTGATTGAATCCTTGAGTTTTGACCTGCTTACACATATGTATTCACATTTGTATTCATATACATGTTAGACTATATATTTGCCAAAAGTCCTTGCATTTCAAATTTTTGGCGCTCGAAAAGCAACTTGAAATTCCGCGACGGTCGCTGAGTTGCTAAACAAATACAAATCGACTGGTGAAATGAGTACAGACAATCGCTCAGGTTTCGAACGGGGCGGCTAGAATGGAAAAGGTGGATTCGAGCTAGAATGGAGGGGGAGACTGAAGCCGACAGGGTTCGAGCTGTGTGGCTCGAATGGAGGGGGACGGGTTCGATTTGGTGTGCCATAAATTGAATTGTGTGTACATATTGTTGCTGTTGCACTGTTTTGTTTTGTTTTGTTTTGTGGGCAGCCACAAACTTATTAAAGGTGCTGCAGGTTTCAATTTGAAATTTAAAACCGCTTCTCGGCCGTTTGCCAATCAAATGCTGAACTTGCGGAAATTGTGGCAGGCTTTTGTTGTTGCTGATTTAAGCTGCTGATTGGGTTGCTTTGTGTGCCATTGAAAGCCATTCAAACAGACACACACACACACACACACACACCCAATACAGTCGCTTGTCATAAATATGGCTTGGGCGGTCGCCCCTTTCCCCCCCCCGACGGAGTGTCTGAGTGTCTGAGTGCTAGGGCCATTTGTGGCAGGGCACGCTCTAAGTGAGTTGTGGCCAAGTGTTGAGCGTTACGTTGCTAAATCACACACACACACACACACACACACACACACACACATACACACACACATTCGAATGTATTTACAATATGTGTAACACTTACGTTGGTTAAAGCCCTTGACTTGAGGCTTGGGTTGATTTAGGATGCGATGATTTTAAAGGCAACTCCTGCTGCATATGCTAGTTGTCTGCGATCTAGGTTTCTGTTTGATATGGCCACTAGATATTTGCTATTTAAGTTGGGCAATTGTAGTTAAATATATATATGTGGAATAGGGCAATAATAAAAGCATATCAATTGCAAAATGAACATGCACTTGCTGCTCAAATGGCCTAGGCTTAAATTTGTTCAATTTTCAAAACTTGATTTGAATTTAAATGAATTTCAATTTAATTTACCTTTGTTCATCTTTTCACTACTTTGATGTCGGACAAAAAACTTTTGCGGCTGGTTAAAACCAAATTCAAAAGAATTTTGTATATTTGCCTGGCAAACTTAATAGTTTTTGCCGCTCAATTAGTAAAGCCCACAGTTGCGTCTAAAAGTTTTAGCAATTTGCACACAAAATTCAATTCATAATGAGCGCATAAAACCAGCCTAAAATAATTAATTAGGCCCTGGCAAAATGTACACAAAGCGACAATTTGTAATATGTATTTTATCCGCCTCGAATAGAGAGGATAAAAGACTTAAAGCAAATTATTATAGGAGAAACGTGGAATAATTTTATCATAATATCTGCTGCTCCCTGATGGAAAATGCGTATATAAAATAAATGAATTGCATATCGGTTCGATTGCAATTAATTATATGAAAATTGCGCTAGTTTTGATTTCGACATATTTATGCTGCGCCACTTTTTTGCTATGCAAAAAAAAATAATTATATGCATAAATGAATTGTAAACAAATGAGAATTGTGAATTATAAATTCAGCGAAATGAGTGCAATGGCAATATGCATGCACACAGGCAGGGACACATGTTAAATATGTTTACCTATTGCGGGTCGAAAAAGGGTTCGCACATACATACTTACACACACAAGTATCCCATGTACATTTATAAAAGTATGCCACGCCCATGTCCTGGCCGCATAAACAGCAGCCGAATTTGTAGTTGTCAGTTTTTCAGTGACCCATATGATATATTGGCCAAAAGGCAAGCGCAACAACAATTGTATGCAAATAAGCATTACACAGTCCAACAGAATTGTGCCGTAAATCAGAAAGTAAATTATGTTTTTGGCAACAACAAAACACACTCCGAACATGCGTGAACTACACTCAGTTGTAGTTCCGTAGAGCTTGCTATCTGAAAGTCTTCACAAAGGAATAACTTATTGTGCTCACTGTAGTCTACTACTGTAGTCACCCCATCTGATGTACGTGCACACTGTGACTTAGTTTTGGAGAATTTTAGACGTAACTGTAGAAATTTGGTAAAATTTCTGTTGTTTGTCTACGACCTTTGTGAAATTTCCTGTTAAAAATACAACCTGCTCGGTGGAAAATGGGCGAAAGTTAATTATTGATCCTAACCCTCTCAAACCCATTCTAATTTTTGTTTAAAATTTAACCACAAGTGAGTAAGATGTGGAAAAGTGATTTGTAAATTTGAAGAAAAAGTTTCTTGATCCGGACAAATTTAATGTCTGAATGTCTGAAAAAGGTGGGAAAACAATTGTTTAACTACGATCTTCGTGAAATTTCATTGTGAAAAATACAACCGCCTCGGTGGAAAATGGGCGAAAATTAAATTCTGGTTCCAAAAGTTTATACTTACTTCTAAGTTTTTTATTTCTTATTTTTCCAAAAGCGAATAAACTGTGGAAAAATGATAACTAAATTTGAAGAAAAAGCTTCTTGATCCGGACAAATACAGGAAATACCCTAGCTATATATCTTTAAGCTCATATTACCAATTCGTGCTGTTGGGTGTTGTGGGCTTGAGTTTTCGTTTGGCCTGTCAGTCGACGGCATTGGCATTGCAAATGCTTTGCTGCAATTTGTCGATAAACAAACATGGCGGGAAAATCAAATTTATCAACATCAAAAAACCGCCGAATTTAATAGCGTTTACGAGTTTTTTCCATTGTCATGCTAAATTCTTAACGTTGAATATTCGCATTTTTATAAATCCACTTAAATAACTTAAACCAATTGGTAAAAAGTGCAATTTAATTCAAAGAGCGGGCCCAGAGTGCTGCCAAAAAGCAATAAACAGAGGCGCACTTTCCACTTTCCATTTTGGCCGACCAGGCGACCCCCACCACAAGCCCCTCGCCCACGCTCCTTGTGGAGCCTGTCATGTTTGCCTTAAATGCCGCAGCTGAAAATACAGTTATTGTTATTTTGCCTGCTCTTTGGCCAATCGACGTTATCTGCATGCTGCCTGTTTTTGCATTGAATGGCCATAAGAATGCGTGACCCACGCCCAGTGGCAGTACCACTGCCACGCCCACTCTCCCGCCCCCTTCCACTCAGCCAAAGTGCCCGCCCGCACACACAATTAGCAGTTAACATAATTACATTGGATGCCGCCAGGTTAATGATGCCCACTTGCCCGCGATAAGACCGGCTCCCCATAGTCGCCCTTTCCAGCGTTTTTTTTTCCACATTCTCTTGCATTTATTTATGGCCTTATGAATGGCATCCTCATTACTGTAAGCTGGAGAAGAGTAGAGCCTTTGCTATCAGTTTCCCCAAATGAGACACCATTTTTTTCATTCCAGCATCCTTTTTTTCCTTTCTGGTTCAGCAGAAAGCAAACGCATTAAAATTAAAAGTATATTAAACAATTAAAAAAATTTTACTTATTTGTTGAGGCGGCCGAAAACTGAAGGCAAAAGAAATTAATTGATATATATATAAGAATATTGATTTTATGATATTTATAATGATGCAATAAGCTCTTTAATTGTTGTTGAGCATTTTCCGACAAACGTGTGCAACACGCTTCGAATTCACTTTCACAGCACAAAACGAAACCGGTGAAAATTCAAAAGTGTGATAAAACCGTTTGCCACATATCTTCCACAGTCGCGGTTGGATTTGGCTCGATTCTGGCTTTCTAGCTTTCTAGCTCCTGCTGTTTGGACAGTTCGTTCGTCATCAAGAACATCATATCAGCATATAATCCTGCCACTCATTGTTGTTTCGAGTGCAAACACTTGACATTTACCTGACGCTGACTTTTGCCCTGCTGGGATGAGCTTGGCGACGGGCAGTTCCATGTCATGTTGGAACTGTCTCTTTATGGTCGTGTGGACAAGTACGAGTAGTACATGTATCTACTATTTAGTTGCGCTCGTCCAGCTGCTGACGTTGCACAGCAGTTGCAGTTACTGTTTATGCTCTTGAGCTTTACGAGTTTATAGATATGTGGCTGCGCTGCTTGACCCACAAAGAGCAGATGACGTTGACGTCACAGCCAGCAGCCAGCAGCCAGTAGTTGCGTTCAAAATTTCAAAGGACATAAAAATTTAAATCACGTCACTTAGATAGACACAACACAAAAGGCACACCCGCTACGGGTCGGGGTAAGGGGTTTGGGTACGGCTTCGTGTCCGCATCCGGCCATAATAGGGCGACATGTAAATAGTTGGCCAAGGCTCCTCCCGTGTCCGTGCCTCGAACTCCTCTGTCTCATTGTGTGTGTGTGTGTGTGTGTTCGTTCGTTCGTTAAGCTGCTTTTGAGGCTGGCACTCAGACAGGCTCTCACCTGTGCATGTGTGCCTGTGTGTGCCGCTTGTCATGTTGCTCAGGCGCGGCGAAATTCTTGTTACGCTTTTGAGCCGCCGCCTGTGGTTGACATGTCACGTTGGAGCCCACCAAACACACCGATCCCAACCAGCCAGCGGTGAACTACAAACGAATATATGGGCTACGATACCTAACCAAGCACCACCCAGCCCATTAAAACGCAATTAAAGTTGCAGGCGTTAATTGTGCCGCTTGTGTGTGTTTTATTTACTTCATTTTTTTTTTTTTATTATTTTTTTCGTTGAGAGTGACTTAGCAGAAATTAATTACTTTTGGCCTGCCAAAGTTGCCAAAGCCATTTAAAAAGAGACTCGGCTAAATATGCGCCCAAGAGCCAAGGAAATGTACGCGTTCCCCAAAACGCGTTCGCCTGCAAAACGCCAGCTTGTTAGTTTGCTCCAATGCAACGTCTAACTAAAAAATATCCTTTGCAATGCTTAAATGATGTTTCCTACTGCCTGCGACATTCCTCAAAACGCTTTCGCCTGCAAAACGCCTTCTTGTCTAACTAAAATATATTCTTTGGAGGGCTTAAATAACACTTCTTACTACCTTTGCGATGTTGTGGCAAATGCTGCGACATTCCTCAACACGCTTTCGCCAGAAAAATGTCCAAGCTCTAAAAATAGAAATATACATTGACTTTCTGACAGTTTGCTTGGCAAGAATTCTAGCACTTATTTTTATTTTTTAGAGAAATACAAAGGAAATCGTGCTAATGAATCATGTCCATGAATAATGCCGCAGGATTCACTGGGAATCATCGTGAGCCGTAGCACCAGCAGCAGCAGCACATACCAAGAGGATGCGTGGGCGTGTCTGGCTTAATGGGGTCACACACACACACACACACACACGCACACTTCATCTTCCGGCTGTGTCCTTATAGTAGCTCATCTGACCCGCCCCTCTTCGCGAGGCCCGTTGCACTCGCTCGTTTTGCAGTTAAATCCGTTTGCCTGGCAACTTTATCTTTCAGCACAGATTTTCAATAGCAGCAGCTTCCGCTGCCGCTGCCGCCGCCGCCGCCGCTGCTGCTGCCGTTGCATGCAACAAACTTTTGTTTATTCCACTTGCCACTGCTTTGCTCTTTTCTGCTGCTGTTTCATGTTTTTTTTTTTAATTTTTTTATTTACCCTTCTTGCAGCTGTCGTGAGTTTTGGCTTAAGCGCCAGTCGACGGCGACGTGCCGCTGAAATAATTAAGTTGCCAATGCAGACGGGATGTTGCGGCAGAGACAGACGGGCGGGCAGACATACAGACAGACAGACAGACAGACGCAAGCAGGCTTACAGTTTAGTGGCATAGATTTTCAATTAGGCAGCCTCAGAGTTGGGAGGGGCTCACACAGCTGGCGCTGCTTTAAGAGTTTGTATCAAACGTTTAAATAATCGCTGGTCAGCGAAATATTCAGAACATATTTATTAAATATTTCGACTGGACTTAAGCCAAAAGGTGAGCTGCATTCTTGCACATTTGCATATTAAAGCCATAAATGCTTTTTACCTGTCCGACACACACGCACACGCCAGACACACGCACACAGACACGCCCTGACAGCTGCATGATCAATGTGTGTGCATTGAAATCTTTCTCTCTCTCTCTCTCTCTCTCTCTCTCTATCTCTCTCTCTCTTTTTCAGCAGGCATTATCCTTGACGTGCAATCATCGTCCTTATTAGTTTGTTCACGCTGATTGCGCTCATCAGGCAGCTCGTTATTTGCCTGCTGCTGCTGCTGCTGCTGCTCTTATGCTGCTGTTGTGATTATTGTTTTCGAGTTAATGACCGTTGAAAATGGCTTTTTATACCCATTGAGAATGGGTAAAAAGGGTATACTATTTTTGTGCATCATATAAAGTATATACACGAGTATAAGTATACGAGACGAGACGAGTAGGTCCGCCTTTCCGTTTGGACAAATTATAGAACTCATAGCTATACCCTTTGGTATTTACATACATTTGGTTGTGCCCTGATAATTTTTTAAAGATCGGGCAATAAGCTTGGAAGCTATTCAAGAATTCAACTCCTTTAATGGATGTGCTACAGCGTATATCCTAGTCGTGCATTCCCGACTAGAGCACTTTCGTGATGGAGGCAAAAATACCACTCTGGAAAGCTCCTCATGATAAAAACTTTCTAGGCTACAATTAAAATATACATATATATATTTATGCCTAATAGCTGCTAAAATCGTATTTTAAACATTGCGAAAAGCATAAGCTGCAAATAGAATACAAGCGTTAAATTTCAGGCAACACAAAAGCCGCTAATGCGACAGCTTATGAATGCCAAGCAACCAGCTCGACTGAAGCTAGTCTGCTTAGTCCCACCTCCCATACTCCACCCCCCTCACTGCCAACTCACTTAAGCGCAGCAGAGCAAGTGCAGAACATGTCGAACAGTTGAACATTTGCAGCAACAGCAGGCAAAGAGCTCGAAACGCATTTAACAAGCGCCTGTACGAGAATATTACGTATACGCATGGCTGGCTGGGCCCACCACGGCCGCAACATGTCGCTGGGCTAGCGAATAGTTGTTGAAAGCAAAGCCGCTGAGCCTGAATCACAGTTTTTGCTCTTGTGGTCACGTTGAAGCCACAGAGTGGCGCAAAAGAGTATTAGCTCGTTTAGTCTCTCGCTTTTGATGGTAGTGTGCAAATTCTCGGTCAATTCCTCTGAGCTCGTAATGCTTGGATTGGCAAAGGTTTTGAACATTTCCAAGCGAAAAAAGCCTGCTGCTTAAAGATGTAAATCAATTACAATCAATCATTTCATGCCAATCATAATTGCATTTTTAGCTCGCCTACATTCAGCTTAGGTTAACACTGGCCAAAATAGCGAAGAATAGTGTGCATATGTGCAGTTGGCCTGGCTGCATAGAAAACGAATGCAAAATCAATCGATGGTTGGAAATCGAACATCGACAGGAGCAGCGGGGACTACGGGGCACAGCCCGTCGAGCAGACATTTTTATGCTTGGCTGAAGCCTGAAGCGTAAAAGCAATTTTGTCTGTGCCACACCTTCAGGATGTGGGGCAAGTGGGGCAAGTGGGACAAGAGGGGCGGGCTACAGGCAAATTTCAGGAACGCATCAGTGAGCATTGCTCAGCAAACCAGCCAAGACATTAGGCAGCAGCTAAAAACTCTGGCCAAATGCTGGCAAATTTTCAATTTATAAGTCAATCAGCTAGAAAAAAAAGGCGAACAAAAAAACAATACACGCAGGCAAACAGACGATGGCATTCACTGCGTATACGTAATTTTTGCAGACAAAAACTTTTCGCTGCGATTAGGGCAAACTTTTCGCCAGCTTTAACCGCACATCCGCGCCGCATCCGCATCCGCATCCGCATCAATTATGCTTAGCCTCTCATGTCTTCGACAGCAGCCAACGACGCCCAATGAAGGCGCACTCAACGGTCGTGGATCTCTGCCAGAATGATGTCGATGTGCTTGTCCAGCTGCGCCAGCTGCAGGCCAATCATCTGTGGCTGCGTGAGCAGCTAACACAGCTGCAGCGGAATGCGTTTGCCAGGCGATTGCTCCAGCAGAGGAGCCTGTTCGAGGGGCGTGCCGCCCTCGAGAGACAACTGCGACAGCTGCAGCTGAAACACAACCGGCACTGGGGCCTCTGAGGCTAAGTGCGTGCGGGATATGACGAGCTGGACTTATGTGGAAATCAGTTTGAAATTATCACAAGCTCAAATTAAAAGTTTACATTTTAAACATTAAATTTCGTTGAGTAGTGAAATGCCATTAATTATCTGAACGGATTATACTTATTAAATGGTCGATTTTATAAAACTCAAAAGGTAGCTACTAGTCTACGGTTAATACTCCAGATCATCAGTCAATCAGTTGGTCAGTCAGGCAAGCCATTTTATATATATAGTTAACTTATCCAGCTCTCTTAACCTTGCCACAACTACATGCCACTTCAGTTGACATTTCTGGCATCAACATTGACCAATAAATCAGACCGTAGTCTGGCCACAAGATGTCCCACCATGAAATTAAACCCATTTGGGTGACACCTCTTGTCGCCGCTGCCAGCCCACATAACAGTTGAACATAAATGGAACAAAACACGGACCAAAGACAAGAGACATTAGAAATACAAGCGCACATCTAAGCTGCTAAGCAACTGCTAGTTAAAGTCGCAAGCAAGTGCGGGTAGAACTAGCCCATTCCAGGCCAGCTTTGCAGCGTTCTGTGAGGCGCCTGCACTCAGTTGGCTCCACATTGCCTTAGACACACACACACACGCACACACATCTTCACAGACACGCAGACACTCAGGCACACATAGACACTCGTGACGCCTGTAAATGACACCTAGCGTGTTATCATTAAATCCTTGGCCATACATGGATGCGAATGACAACACTTAAGTGGACCATAAACGCCAACAAATGCAAATGCAGAATGGAATTATTGCCACAGTCAACGATTCAGCCGTAGACTGGGATGTGGATGTGGATGGGGATGGAGGTGGCCTTGTGGCCGGGAATGGGTTTGCTGTAAAAGTGTTTGCATATGCAAAGCCACACCAGACCACGATTGAGCGGGGCAGCTGACCCAACCTGACCACGCCCAGCCATAAAGCCAGTTCGTGTGCATTTCACCGATATAAATATTTATATAAGTTAATCGGTTTATGGTGCACGAGTAATTGAATTCCGGCTGAAATGGAGACCCATCATAACAACTGGCGTCCCGTTTACAGTAACTGCCGTTGCAGGTGTCATGTGGCACGGTTTCTTATATACATTTCTGCAGGCTCTGCTGCATGTGGCATCAAAATGATTTTTAGCTTTGGCGCCAGCCGTTGCCGGAAGTGCCAGCGCCCTAGCATGCTGCTGTGCCACTTCCGCTTAGCTGCACATTAATTGCAATTAAATTTGGCATTACTGGGCGCTTACCACGAACCGCCCCTGGCAGCACCACCCAGCGCCACCGCCCCCGCCAACCACTGCCCCACAACGCACAACGCACATTTAACGCTCGTTGCAATTTTTGCTGTTGCATTTTCCACTTCTCGCATAATTTAAAGTTGTTTGCTTTTGGTTGCTGCCCACGACCATGAGCTGGGGGGGCGAGGGGGGCGTGCTGGAGGGGGGACGCTCATTTTCATGTTGTTGTTTTCAATTAACTGTGCGTCTAACTAAATGGCAAGTAAATTAATGTTTATAGTGCATAAATATGCATTTATAGTGTGCATGTGTGTGTGTGTGTGTGTTGGATGTGTGTTTACGGCCGTAATAGAGCGTGCTGTGGCCATTGTTGCTGGCACTCAACTATTATGGCATTGTTATGTTTCAAGTGGAGCATATCACTCAGTTTTTACGAATACGGTCGAACTATCGATATTAACAGGGAACCGAGTTCAAACCTCGGGCTAGTATATGCATATGGTATTAAATTAACAGCAGCTAGTAAGAAATATATCCGATAATCAATATAATTGAAAAACGAGAAACAGAGCTCGAATCCCAGCCTGATGTATAGATGTGGTTTTGTAGTATTAGTAAAAGCTAGTTGTGTTTAAATGTTATGGGGCTAGCTTATAACTACATACATCCGATAGTTACAATAATATTACGCTCACATTTCCCTCCATTTGTTATTTATTTTGCCTTGTTAACAACTGGACGCGTGTCCAGTTATCCCTTCACTGTCTAATTGTCAGATTTAAAGCTATCCTCTCATAACTTACAGCTGTGTTTATTATTTGTAGTTTTCAGTTCCTGATATATATTTCATTTGTGAACGCCCTCAGGCTACTCCACGGGGCTCACACAATGAGCCTGGCTCTATGCTAGACACTTTTCAGACATGAAAATGCATTTGGAAAAACAGACAAATAAAGTATTTAGCTGTCCGTTTTCTATTGTTCCGTTCAAATTGTGGCCAAGTCAACAGCAGACAGAGAAAAATTACAGAGACAGAAGATACTTTTAACCCATGTATATATTTTTATTTTCTATTATTCTTCATTGTTTTTGGGGCGTAAAAGCATTTTGACCTTCTTCAAAGAGACGTTGCTTTCCCAAAAGATGGCATCATATCGGTACACCTTCTGATTATAGTATTTGCCATTTAAATTGCCAATTTTGTTAAATTGTTATTGTTGAAACAAAGCTGCAGTAATTCATACCTGTGTGCACAATCAGCGTACCACCAGCCACCACCACATTGAGCTTGACTTGCGCAGTTGCCAGAACTCTTGTTATCATTGTCGCGATCGTATGTGCTGAATTTCTGATTTCTGTGATGTGCCATGGCATTATGTGTTGCATTGCCCTCAACCGCACCCAAGGTGATCGATCAGTCTGTATTGATCGTCCTCGCCAGCGATTGCAAATGCTGCGTATCTTACAAATTGGATATCGCCATCAAAATCTTCCATATGTATGTAAAGCTCGTCAAGCGATGGATATTCTCCAGTCCTAAGAAGAAGTCACCATCAAAGTTGTAGAAATCTTCCAGACCATTGATTCGCTGTTGGATAACCGTCCAGCCAGGACCTGCCGTCCCACTGTCACAGAGAACATCGAACGTAACATTATTTGTTTTAATTTCGTGAATACCCGTAACATCTCCAAAGTGAGTGCAGCTATTTGGAATGGGTCGATCTTGGCAGGTTTTTAATTTCCTGACACAAATGTTGATTTCATTTTCGATTTTGGATATTTGTTAATCTTTGTGATCAATTGGTTTACTCCAACTGTAGCTCCAACTGATTTTCATATTTCTGTGTTGTGAGTTTCTTTATTTCATCTTTTATGTATAACGCATTCTTGGCTAGCTCTTCAATAGTCCGCTTGTAGAAATCGAGCTCAGTTCCTTGTTTCTCGATGACAAGTTCATTTTGTTGGGACAGCTTGTCCTTCAGTTGCCTAATTTCTTTGTCTTTTCTTTCAATTTTATTATTGTTGTCTTCAATTTCTGCCTTCAGTTGATCTATATAGTTTAGCAAAGGTCTCAAGCCTTATAGGTGTGTTTTTCGCATGGCTCCTCTGCTATTATCGTTGCCTTAATGCCAATAAAAGTATTATTTATTTATTTTATAAATGTTTATTACTCATTTTATGTTTTTACCTCATTTTCATTAGCGTGTAATATATGTAACATATAGAAACACAACGAATTTCATTATAAGATTACGGAACGGAAATTCCACACTCAACTGGACACGGCAAACACAAAAATAGACTGAAATATGGAAATCAATTGAGAGCTCAGACCTCCAACATTTCGAAAACTGATAAGCGATAAGCAATAGGTCGGGAACTAAAAAAAAATCCAAAGCATCTAAAGTGAGCTTCATGGACCAAGTAGCGAAGTTCTGCTCATTTTAAGGGGGAATGTTATTCTAGTCATGACTTAATTTTTTATATCAAAGATAAATTAAATCAAGTATAAATTATAACTTACGTGAAACTCTGTAACAGGTTGGACAGAAAATCTTGGGCCAGAATACTCAGACAAATAGTTTGACAGACTTACGAACTTGAATAGATCGACGTGTCATATATATATATATAGGGTATAGGGAGACATTACATACACTTGAACAAAACCAATCTACTCATTATAGTAATTTTCAATGAGTATAAAAAGTTGCTAAAACAACTCGACAAACAAAAGATGCAATTGAGAAAACCAGAGAGGCGTCCGCAGCTGTATCAGGTGTTGCATACCCTGTAAAAATTTAAAACGGCAATAACAAACTGTTCATGATTTTAACGATCTTAGTGTGTAGATTTATTTGTAAAAAAATAAATAAAAAATTTTTAAATACATAGGTCTTTTAAGATTATCTCTCGAGATGCCACCCCAAACCTTTGAAATGTTGAAAAGCAGTCGCTATATAACCGCAAACTTGGCACCTGCTTCAAGGAAAAACTTTTGGATATTGTTTGGGAAAATTCAATAGCTGCCCAATTCGATTAAAGCATCTTTGACTGGCACTTTTTAATTGCATAACACATACTTTCACGCTGCTTGTTGCTTACACTTTACTTGCAACTTTGTCACTGAGCTAAATGGTGCGGGGCGGGTGGGCAGGGTCGAGGGCTGGCTGTGTTGCGAGGGCAGCAGCGTTTGGTGCCAAAGGCAAAAGTTCATTTTAACAAGTGAACAACTTTCAATGGGCAATTAAAAGGGCATACAAAACATGGGGACGACAACAGCAGAGTTCAAGTCTTTGCCAACTGCAAGCTGCAAAACTGTTCGAGCAGCGGCTCAGCAGTGGAGGGGGGGGGGGGGGGGGGGGCGGTAGCGGGCTGGGTAGATGGGGTTAGGAGTTGCGTAGGGAATGCAGCGTCGCCTAAAAACTCACAGGAAATGTTAACAAAATGCACTGTGCAGAGTTTACAAAGTTTTTGGCCGAAAGGCAATTAAAGTTTTTGGCACTAGCTACAACAACAGCAACAAAAACAACAACAAATACAACAACAAAGGAAGCGCAGCGATGTGTGCTCAGATTGGTCGCGGTCGTAAAAGTAACAGACATTGCAGCTGCAATAGCTGCACAGATCCGGTAGTTTAATTATTCTAGATAAATCACTCGCAAGTGATAAAATCTAATTGTACCTGGTACCCATTGAAAATGTGTTTAAAAAGAAAGGGTATATTGCAGTTGTGCGTATGTGACATACGTAACATTCATTTCCGAGAAGAACGACAAACTTTATGGGACATAAAAGCTAGGGGCTTAAAAGAAGAGAGTATTTCCTAGTCAGTTCCATAATTATAGTTCCATAATTATAATTTCCGTCAGCTGGCATCTCTCAATCTAATCCAAGTTCCGACCGCTGACAGTCAATATATAATTAATAAACCTTTCGGTCTAAGCTTCTAATGGAATTTGTGTGAGCAAGATTACATTACAGATACATCTCAGTGCGCATCCTTGTGCTGTTTGCACTACGTGTCTTATTAATTAAGTTTGCGTTTACTCTGTGCAAAGATAAGTTGCAATTCGTATGCCTTTTGCTTGCTGCCACGCCCACTGGGCGAGTAATTGGCATCAAATATTTTAATGAGCGTCAACGTGTCAATGTCACGATTTTCGTCTCAAAATATTTACAAGATATGGAAGCGGAATAATTAACATTAAGTCAGGCGAGGACGAGCTCAAGCAGCCGAGTATTATGCACTCGGCTGGGGGGGGGGTTGGGGGGACCGGGTTGGGTGCGCAAATTTAAATGCCAAGACGCTGCTGTGGATATGGTTATGATGATGCGTGCGTGCATGATGTGCATTAAAGGAGCTGCTCGTTTATTTCCATATGCCAGCAGTGGTAGCAGTGGGCGCAGAGGTTGGCTTGCAAATTCCAGTGTCAGGCGAAAGCTGCTGCAGCAGCCCAGCTGCAGGTGCATTAACACCTCAATGCCAAGGCGCGCCCTGCTTGCCACGTTTGCAGGCACACACACACACACACATACACTCGACGGTTCTTCACAATGTTGCTGTCACTTCATGTGGCACGTAATGACATGCGGCTGCCAACGCTGTGGACGCGTAGAGAGCCGCATGCCTCGCCACTGGCAGCCATTCGCTGGCAGCACTCGTATTATAATTTATGCAACCGCAGCCAGCCAAAAAACCGCAAATCTTGCAGCGCTTCAATGCACATCAACCGCATCAGCCACTCGAGCAGCAACTTTAAGTTGCCTTCGCAGCGTCTGGTCGTTGGTATCGATGCCTTCTTCCGCACTTGGCAAACAGTTTAACAAAATTCGCAAGCTTCGCTCTCCGGTGCGGTTCATCTAAAATAATGCAAGTCATGATGAATTGAATTAAGTCTTGGAATAAGTTTTATGTAAACCTGGCTATGGGTAAAATTTGGCTTAAGAACTAACCCAGAGTTTTTGACCCTTGTAGTTGGCAACTTTGTATATAAAAGTGGATTATCTTCTAATGCAACTAATTGGTTCACTTTCTCCTCCGACTTTTCTTAATTGACGTGTAAAATAGTTTATTAAATATGTGTTCAGCAATAGACGTTGATTATAAAAAGTATATACAAGCATGTACAACGTTGCCCTTCACTAAACAGGAATATTTCAATTAGAATATTTAAATATAAATGAATACTACACATATATAAAGTTTAAGTATATTAAAGGGTGTGATCTGTGCCGACATCCTGACGAGCTGGAAGAGATTCAAGTTTTAGCAATTTTTAAAGAAGATTTCCCATTCAAGCTTACCCCACAAATTCAGCTGGAGACAGTGTCGGCGACAATCAGATACTGGACATAGGGAGCCCTTGTCCTTGGTATTTTGGTGGGCATCTCAAATAGTTGCGGGTAGTCGGACGTTTCCGGCCACTTGGCCAGAGCCGTTTCCATAGTCCAGCGTAGTGCCAAATCCTTGTAGTAGCCCTGACGCAATTCATCGACCTGTTCCAATTTAGCCAAATGCGCCAGGCTCTGCTCGTGATAGCCGGTGACATCAATGGAGCGCATCAGCAGCGCACTGCTCAGCAGCGTCCACTTACTGTACGGCTCGTATTCGAGCAGATCCAGGCAGGACTGCAGTTGGGTCTGCAGCTCCCCCAGCAGCTCCTTGCTGCAGCTGGCAGTGGCGTGTGGCGGCACAAAGTAGTAGAGGCTCTTATCACTGGGCTGTACAGAGAGTTTCAGGCGTTGCCCGGCCAGTGCCAGGACATAGTCCTGACTTGGATCAATATTGATGGCTTGGTCGCATTGCCATTGGGTTTTCTCGCTGTTGGCAGGCTGCCAGGGCTGCAGTTGCCACGTTTGCTGCTCGCTAATCAGCTGTACCTGCAACTGCGCCAGTTCTGGATAGGGTTTCTTCAGCGCCAGTTGTGCCTTATGGGGCCAACAGCGAAAAGCAGCCACTACGACTGGCTGGTCGCGCTCCTGTGCACCGCTGCCCAGCAGCCAGCGCTGATAGAACCAGGCGCTGCTGTCATCCGGATCGGTGAAGGCGGCGGTCAGCACCATTTCCAGCTCCTCCTGCAGCTTGTGCTCGCTCATGGGCCGATCGTGCTGCTCGTTGGGATAAAGCCTGGGCAACAGCAGGCTGCGATGATGCCAGCTGGAGTAGTTGGAGAAGTTCACCTTGATTTTTTCCGTGCAAAAGTCTAGCTCCCGTTTGGCGGGCACAGCCGCCTTGGCGCTCACATAGCGCCTGTAGTCCCAAGTGTGGAAATTGCGCTCGTCGTACCTTAAGTACTTGTTGCACAGTTGCACCTCTCGCTGCCAATCGGCTTGAGGATTCTGCTCAAGGGTCCAGCAGCGATGATGCCAGCTATTATAGGACTTGGCATTGACCATCAAACACTGTTCGGTTAGATCCAATTCCGTGGTATAGATAGCCTGCAGCTGCTGGGCCAATGCTGCCACGCCAGCCCCTGCCTTGCCATCTGCCTCGCCCTTGTCCTCCTTCTCCTCCTCCTCCTCCTCCTCCTCCTCCTTGTCTGCTGCAACTGGTGCTTCTGGAGCTTCGGTTGCTTCTAGCTCTTTTAATGCCCTCTGCAGTTCACCTGTCTTCTTCAGCACGCACTCGCGTCGTATATTCCACAGCGTACTGATATCCGGATTGCGCTGCAGTATTTGCACTGTCAGGCCGAGCAATTCGTCATCAAGTTCGCCGGCGCTGCGCTTTTTCTGGATGCGTGTCATGGCCGCGCGGTAGGCGCGCATCTTGAGCACCTGCTCCTTCTTTCTACGCTCGCGCTCCTCCTCCGTGGTGCGTACTTTAACACGGCCATGCATATTAGCTGATTTTTATAAACTAAATTTTACTGCAAATGCCAAACAACTTTGAAAAGCCTATTGACTAATCCGGTCCATGAAGGAGAAAATCAGATGTTTTAACATTTGTCCGAACAGCAACCACTAAGTGTACACTCAAATGGCGCTGCTAAGCTGTATACATTGCTGTAAAAGCTGTTAGGATAACATTTAGCTGTTACGCTTAGCCACAAAAGCTGTCTGCTATGAAAAATAAACCTTTGCATAACGAATTATGGACAGATGGCGCTAATGACTTATTTTACTTGTTTGTTGTTTGTATGCTTTTGCTAGTGCTTAAGGTAAACAAGTGATGGCACTTAATGTTTTGCTACTGTTCAAGGGATGGCGCCTGTAATCAAAAAGAAGGCCGTTAGTTAAATTTAAAATATTTTAAAAATATTATAAGTTTGGTCTGATTTTGGAATGATATACCTTTTTAAGCTCGTACGGATCACGACTATCGATTGGCATCAAAAAAAATTAAATCTTGTAAAAATCGGCCTAGGACAATTTCAAAACGGGCAATCTTTCCGCGAGCGGAGTTTAACCTATTAATACGAAGTTTTTGAAAACATCGCAGATTTTTTCGAACGATTTTGGTCCTCCACGAACTTAAAACGCTTATTTTTGCCACTGTTTAATATATTTAAGAAACATTTTATCAGAGTTTTCATTATATGCTTTATAAAATAAATAAATAAATACTAATAAAGTCGCAAGGATTTCATATCTTTATTTGGGCAACTAGCCATTTTTCAACATTTTTCAAACTTTTCCAAGCCAATTTATATTTATTGCTTCTATTTAATCTTAAAAACTTGATAGAACAAGTCATAAAATTTAATTAGGAAAGTATTTCCCGCGAGATGCTCTACAAGCAATCGAACTTAAATACAAATACGAGAAATTTTTATTGTTTTATGGCCGTGCAGCAATAAAAAACAACAAAAATACGTCGCATAGAAAGCCATAAACGAAGCCGGCAAAGGACGTGCTCACCCCTCTCAACCCTCCCCATCGCCCATCTCTCATCTCACATCTACCATCTCATGACTGGGGAGCAATTTAAGTCAGCACAGACCAGCAGCAGGTGCGAATGAAGGACACGAATGCTGGCGGCAACGTCTTCCGAGCTCGGAGCGAGAAAATCAATCGTGCAGCAAAATCAAAGAGGATATTTTCGTACATATATATACGTTTGTGTGTTGGTATTTTACATATATACGTACACACAAATATGTATGTATGTAATGTTATTTAACAGCGCATATAAAAGCGTATATATGTTAGTTAGCAGCGCATTTGGCGCGGCGCGCGTTGAAATGTAGGCGTGGCAGCACGCCTCGCACCCGCGCTTAAAAATAATTCAATGGCCCCCGGGCGCGTTTATCAAAGCCAGTTCCCGAGGGTTGCTCACTGAGCAGCAACAACAGCAACAACGGCAACGGCATCGTTACCGTTAGCTGCTATCCTTGTTGTTGTCGCCGTCTAATGTGATACGCATCAATTTATGAAATTTGAAATATTATGACTGATTTTGCTGTTCGTCCTTTGCCTGCCGCCCGCTTCTGTGTCCCGTTAATCTTAGTAACAGGTCGCAACGGGTACTAAAGCAGGGGGTGGTTGGCATTTTAAGGATAACAACAAAGCGGAGCCACAGCTTAGGTGCAAAATGTCCACCAAGCCATAGCTCAAGCAATATATCACATAACGGGGCCCGTTATGTGGGCTAAGCTGATGACACAGCGAAAGAGGGAGAGGCAGAAGCAGCGAGCGAGGGAGAGAAAGAGAGACAGCGACTCGACATCGCATTGGTAATTGGAGTAACAAAAACCATGAAAATGAAATGAAGCGAGATTTTTATTTTTATGACACACACACACACAGGCACACACGCACACAAAGGCAGGCGATTTAAAGTGAAGGTCGGCCAGGGCAGGGATGGGCAAACAGACTCAAACTAGATTGGTTTCGCTTTGGTTAGATGCCAGCTACAGTGCCAGTGACACAAACTGTGACACAAACCGTGACAGTTGATTCACAGGCAGCCAAACAAAAGACAAACAAAGGATAATAGTACACATTTCGGAAACGGGGCAAATTATTCTACATGCTGCGTTATTTATAAATGAATATTTTATGGGCTATAAGCGTTAATTTTCTTCAGCCTCAAGTAGTCTTAAGTGATTTCAGAGAAAAGGTTACTAGCTCGTGCGCAACTTTAGTTTAACACAAACTTTGCACATTATTGTAACACTTATTGTAATGGGGAGAATATTATATTCTTGATCCAGAATGATTAGCTGATGTACTTTAGTTCATCTGGCTAAGATTCGTATGTATCGAATTTGGCTAAGTCGTTAAACTATATTACATAGCTGCCACAGTAGGTTTATACTTAGTTAGTTTTATGGACCTAACTAGGTTAGTTGATGCCCAACTACGTGACAATGGCGCCTCGGGTGGCCAACTGGAGAGTAACTCGCAGGTAACCCTAGACAAAGTGACGCAAAAAAAGCTGATATAGACAGAAAATAAAACAAACTGCAGCAATTTTCCATTCACATGGCGGCCCGCCAAGTGCCCCGAGATTTTCCGGCGTAGCGGCATTTTCCACGCTAAAAATTGACACCGGACGCCCACACGGCACCACGTTGACGTTGGCAGTGCCAATGGCAGTCATCAGCTCCTGCTTCTCGCCTGTGGCCTGCTGTCGCACGTAGGAGCAGGACTCACTCCAAGGGCCGCTGTCGAAGAGTGCGCAATTGACGTAAATAAGAAGCAGCATGGCGACATTCACATCGACCACGATGCCAATGGCAATGGCCATCACGACTAAAGATGGGCGGCCCTTTTGAAGGGTATTATAATTTTGTCATGGCATGTGTAACGCATAGAAGAAGTCAATTTGAGCCCTATAAAGTGTATATAAGTATTCTTGATCAGTATCAACAGCCAAGTCAGAGAGATACATATATAATTGTTTCTATATCGTATGTTTTCTATCGTCGTGAAACTTTGCATTTGCCCATCCTTCTATTGCACCCAGTACATATCACATATCTATATCATCTAGCTGCCATAGGATTTATCGGTCGATTGCGAAATGCAAAATATTTTTGTGGTTCCAAGTGACCAAGTCAGGGCACTGATATATGAGAGTCTTGTCTTATCAACATCGGATCACTATATCATATAGCTCTATAGAAAGAATCGATCGATAGTTTATTTGTTCGAGATTGTCACAAAATGTATCTTTTTATCAGGATGGTTTTTCATACATTCCATGATTTTGATTATTTCTCATTATTTATATTTGATATAAGCTTTAAGTTTATTCTCTTTTTCAATGAGTTCTTGAGTCCGCGAACTTCATGTCCGCTCCGCTTATTACTAGTAATCAACATGTATCTTGTACTTCTATCTTATGCTGCTCCATCTGTCTTTTGACAAGATATCTTCAGTAATTATTCAAAATGCTCACCGATCTGCTAAGAAGTTGGCTATAATTCTCAGAAGAGTATTTCATCTTCGGTCATCTCTCGGATATCCGTTCTTTCTTATTGCTGTTGCGGGGGCGTTTCTGCTGCCAGTGGCACATATGCCACGGCCTCGTCCTCGGCCACAGCTTGAGCTTTGAAATTGAAAAAGTTATGCAAATCTGTCGCTGCTGTTGCTGTTGCTGCTGCTGCTGCTGCTGCTGATGTTGATGCTGCTGACGCAGGACAGGAAACGAGCGCAAAAGAACTGAATTAGTTTTATGCAATTTACTGTGTAGGATGCTCGCCCTAGTCTGGCAGGACGAAGGACGAGCAAACTTTCCCTGCGTGTTACTGTCGATTTGTGCGCGCAATTATAATAATTGCTATAATAACAACAACAACAACAACAATAACAGCAGCAGCAGCAGCAGCAACTGCTGATGACATGCACCGTGACAGGGGTGCGTCATAGCAACTGTGTCCTGCGTCAGGTCCTTTATCCTTCAACTCATCCCAGCTTCATAGCTGCGTGCGTAAGCGCCTCAAAATCGCATCTTTGTTTGTCCAGAGCATTAAAGGCTTTGGCTGGCGGCACGTAGAGCGCCTAAATAAATACGCAGCAGCCAAGAGGAGGCAGTTCCTGTAAGGACCAACTCCTTTTGTTGTTGTTGTTGCTGCTAAAAACTGGTCAACGCTTTAAAACCCTCTCTCTCTCTTTCCATCTCTTTTTAATTACAATTGCCAACGCCTGGCTGGCTTTGACAACAGCTCTTACCCCTCGTCAATGCTTACGTGCCTAATGCCAATTAAGCGTTTAGCAAACGTCAGCTTGCTCAGGTCCTGCCCCTCACCTGGTTCCATTTACATTTTCATTTTCAATATTTCGCATTTCAATGATTTGATTCTTCATTTCCATAAAATGGCTTAAAAGGGATAAAAACAAGGACACAAGCAAACATATTCCGTTCCATTTGGAAAAATCAATAAAATGTTATTTTCAAATTTATATTCAATAAGCTAAATTGTATTGAAAATCACATGAAAATCATCGTTAAAAGTTTGAGAAAAATATTGACTTTAGTTATGAAATCTTGTGTATTTTGATTATTGTCAAATTCGGGATAATATTTAAACATTTTACAAGAATATTGACTGAGTTTTTGAAATGTTACGCATGTTAAGAATGTTGTCAAGCTTGGGATGAAATTTCAACATATTGACTTTAAAAAATTAGCTAAATGTGAATGACGAAAACTCTTTTCTTTAATTTTGAATCTTTTAGTATTCTTGATAACCAAAATTGTATTAAAAATAAAATTTTAATATTTTCAATATATTACAAATACCTGAAGTTTTTCCGGAAAATAATATCTTTTATATAGCGAATATGTTTTGAATTTAAATGCTCAATTAGTCTGCAGAACAAATCGGGAATATTCTCATATATTTTAAGTTACATTTTAATATTTTAAATATCTCACAAATAAGCCGGATGTTTTTCCGGAAAAAATATCTTTTTTATAATATCTTTTTGGATTTAAATGCAGAATTAGTGTGCGGAACAAATCGAAGATATTCTAATATTTTGCAGAGC